TTCGTTATGTAAATTGTATAGCTCATTACTCCAGTATGGCTTATAATGCTTACGGGCACCTCTTGGTATTGATTCTCCTGCTGCCTTTAGTACGCATTTGTTAAATTCTTCAACTACTTTATTTATATCCTGGTCTACGCTGAGACTTCCAAGCAGTATACTGGTACGGTGCTTGAACATTGTCCAGTCAGCCTTCTTGTAGTTCCACCTTGGCAGCCTACTAGTTTCTGTGACCTTCTCATTTTCTACATTCAGGAAGACCGGTCGATGGTCACTGCCTACCAGTTGATTTCCAACAACTCGTTTAATGTTCCATTCCAGATCTGGAGAGTGGAATGCTAGGTCTGGGGTAGTAGTGGTGTGCCACGACCTGGAGTAGAATGTGGGTGGATCAGTTGGCCTATTAATCAGAACAAGTCTGTTCTCATCTTGCCACTCCTCCAGTTTCTCTCCTCTCTGGTCTATATGGTCGTATCCCCAGCTTTGTGAGTGGCTGTTAAAGTCTCCACATAGAATCATCTTTTCTTCCACTGGGATTGTGTCTAATGCCTGGGGACGATCACATAGGCAGTAATAATTGATCAGATAGAAGTCTGCATTTCCAGTTTGTAGTTTCAGAATCTGATATTCTGCTCCATCCATATATACTTCAGTCTGGCACGCAGTGATATTGTTCCTCACAAGAGTCAGTATTCCACCCTTTTCCCTGCCTTTCCGGCCGGATCGGGAGCACTGATAACCTCTGATTTTGAAGACTGTGTGAGGTGGGTTTCCTGTAGACAGCATATATGAATCTGTTCCTCATTTAGAATATTTTCTAACTCTAGCTTTTTATTTGTAATCCCCTCTGCATTCCAGTGCATTAATTTTACTCTATTCTCACGTCCCCTGGCTCCACAGGACATTTGAGAAGGACCTCCAGTAATTTATGTTGGGCCTCTTCGAGGCAAAGGGCCCGGCACTGCTCCTGCCCGAGAGTCCATCACAGGGCGAGCACCATAACGTTTTGCTGATATAGACATATTTCCATGACGTGTATGCGTGGCATCCTGATTGCTGTGGTGCGCCTCTTGGCTGGTTGCCTCCGACTTCAGCACCTTGTTTTGCTAGGGTAGACTGTGATCATACAATATGCAGCAAGATCAAATACCATCAAAAGCACTAAATCTCAGAAGATCAGCTACAAGAGCAAGAGGACGGCCGCGGAAAATTAGACCGACAACATTAAAGACACTCTACGCCTTCACTGAAAGACAATAGCCAGTGCAGCTATCGTGCACTGGATCGCAAATTACTTCTCCCCAAAGCGCTTAACGGCAAAAGCGATTTATGATGATGATGTTAAATAAAATGACTCTCGATGAGACATGATTCCCACGCCAACTGGCACGGCACTTGATAAATATTAATATTATGACTTTGGGTTCGTAATACACCCCTAATATTTTATTTTGCGTTAAGTTATACTTATATATTTATTATGTTATTGCTGTGGTCAGCTAGGAGGTATTTTTTGTTTTAATTTCCTTAAGTTGTTACCAAAGAAAGGACTTAAACCAAGCAATGTGGCCGACAACCACACCCATGGCCCCAGGTAAAAATCGCCCCCCTCCACTCCTCACCCACCACACAGAAGAATGACACCGGAAGCCGGAAGTATTGTCTCGTCTCTGGTCCTTACCTATACACTGGATGTCAGATAGAGCTGAGATAACTCAGGTTACACATAATTGTTCATGTATGTTTTAGTTGTTTAATATGTGAACTCCTGTAGTTCTAGGAGGTTGTGTTCGAAATTGCATCTTACTATATGACAGTGACAGTCAACAATCAGAATAGAAACTATTTTTATTATGTATTATGAGAAGCAAGCAAACATTGTTTGGCAAACTGTTGGAAACAATTCAAAAATGCACAAATTGAAATACAGAAATATATACAGTAAAGTAATAATATTATTAATATTGTAATAATAATTAATAGCAAAGGCCGATGGACGTCGCTTAGTACAGCAAAGCCTGAGACATGATGTCACAAAGTCTAGGTTGAGAATGGAGGTGGAGGCAGTCACCGCTGGCTTGAGAATCAGTGGTCACTGATTGTCACCTGACTCGCAGACGGCAAAGGATGTTGAGAAAGGGGGAGACAGGTATGATTAATGATCAGTGCAGAGTAGCAACTGGCATCAGAGGTCGCGGGTAGTTAGTATCCTTTGGGTATTCTCTTCAGGTTATGCAGGTGTGTTGTTAAATGAGCAGGCAGATAGACTGGCCGGTTCTGCACCACTTGGTGGTGAATTGATGTATGACAAGCTAGACGTGGTGAGGGCCTTTTGGAGGTGAGTAAACAGGGCTGAGGTACAAATAGATCATTACAGTCTGAGCAGAATGACGCTCAACACTCAAGGGAAGGGCGAGACGGATATACAATCAGACAGTTACTGGTGCCATCAGAATTGGAACTTTTTGTTTGCTGCTAAAGATGGGGATGGAGCGCTTATGGGTTTTCCGACAGATAAATCCTTTATATGTGAAAAATTGTGGCACAGAAGTTGCAAATAGTTCCCGAATATCTGTTCTTTCTGTCTAACCGCCATTTCAACAGGGCGCAGCTTCTCCGCGATTCTCGTTCCGGGCGAGACATAATCAATAATGTGCATTTTAATGTATGCGCACATCGCCTCTGGACTTCAAACCAGCAGTCGCCTTGGGACAACTTCAAACCAGCAGCCGCCACTATGACGCTCTACTATTCCGACCACCCCTTGACCGTGGCGAATGCGACCACGCTGGCAGTTGCGACGGAAGAAGTAGCTCATGACTGTTTTCCTGCGACTATAGTGCCACATCCGAGAGTATCCCCCGCACTGCTACACGCGGCACGGAAGGGACTAAACTAGATGGCTAGGACTCACGAGCAAAAACAATGGAGGAAGCTGCAGGAGAAGCGGTAGCTGCTGCTCATGAGTCCCAGCCATCTAGTTTAGCCTCTTCCGCGCAGCGCGTAGCGGAGCGGAGGATACTTCCAGAGGTGGTACTATAGTCGGCGAAAAGTGGTCCACAACTTACATATAACTGTGGCCCTGCCGTAGGATTGCGCTATCTGGAGTATTCTTGTGTGTCGCTAATTTTTCTTCCGTAGTTAATCCTAGTTTTGCCGCCGTTTAATCGTCGTAAAAAAGTCAGTTGTGTTTTGCGAAAATGTCGCGCACAATTAATCCTACTTTTGACGCGGTAGATTCGGCGGAAAAGAAATGCGATTTTAGATATGAGTGAGGCTCTGTTAGGGTTAACTTTCTGCGTAGATCATTTGGGACCTTTATTTAATGGACAAAAAAACAGATAATTAGGGATGCTAGTGAAGCTTTAAATATTTTACTTATGAAACCATAACAGCTGGATAGAGATTAAAATATATAATCCAGTGATACCTCAGTGAAGCCTGTTGGTAGGTCAGTTCTAGGCAGATATATTAACATTTTAATGGCATATATATATATATATATATATATATATATATATATATATATATATATATATATATATATATATATATATATATATATATATATAGCAGCTATAAGATTTAATAACTATTTAGGAACATTTCAAAGCATAAAGAGGCGAGTAAAATAAGGTTGCATACTATCACCTGATTTGTTTTCATTAGTGAATAAAGTGAATTTATTAATTACAGTGAATTTATAATGGGATCTATCATGGATATGCAAGAATTGTGGTTGCATAAACAGCCTGCGTTATCCTGATGACACCGCCTTGATAGTGACAAGTCTGCATTATACTCAGTTGATAAAGACTTTGGTCGAAACATTCTGTTGTGTTTGCTTGTGTCTTTTCCATTCCCTCCTTTGAGCTTTCATGTCATTTACTCCATTGATAAAGACTTTGGTCGAAACGTTCGGTTGTGTTTGTGTGCATCTTTTCCATTCCCTCCTTTGAGCTTTCTAGTCACATTGTGTGTTTCATTTAAAATTTCTTGCAATTAGCTTGACTGCAGTCACCCCTTATTTACATCATGATTATCTATGCCTGTTGACATGACACATAATAATCATGATGATAATCACGGTCATATTTAAGCATTGTGTGACATGTGCAGCTGCAGAGGGTGGCACAATTTTTAGTGCAGCAGAATTTAATGGTAGTGTTATAAAGTTTTTAGTTTATTGCTTTTTTCTTTAGGAAACTTCCATTAAATTAAGGTTCTGATATCAAGATAGTATGCTGACGTTTAGTTGACATTTGCAGATTCTTTGATCATGTATTTTGACACATTCGAAGCTTGCTACGTTGATGCACACTTGCCGAGTATCTAGGGGGTAATTGGGAAGGTCAGTCTTACAGGTCACAACTCCCGCTCAGCAGTAACAGAGGACTCCAGACACTGGTTTACACGATTCTTTTATATATATTACACACAACAAATTTGCACTTGAAAATGTGTTGAGTTGTACAGCTGTTTATAACTTGCAACTTTGTTCCCTCTACTTTAATGTTTTATAAGAATCTCATACAGATAAAACAACATACAAAGGAAATAAAACTTTGAAACAATTATCAAAGAGAACTTGAGTTTATAGCTGCTTCATTGTTATACACTGTTACTTGTTTAATTTCATTAGAGGGCCATGTTAGCACAGTTGATAGGAGACTCGTTTTCAAATCCAGCTGTGACTCGCTGCAGCCCACAGACGGTGTTCGAAACCGGGTGGTTTCCGGGGTTCACCCAGCCTCTGAGTAATAGGTACCAGAGTTAGCACTCTGGTGTAAATGGAGGAACGTCGCTGTAGCTACGGAGTTGTGTGTGGATGGCGACACAGGCAGACAGTTTCTTATCAGCTGTCTGTGCTGGTGGCAGAGCACTTATAGTTTATAAATGTGTGCAATGATGCTGGTTCACATCTCCCGACTTTACCTTTACCTTTGTTTAATTGAAAATAGATTGGCTAGAATACATAATCAAGTCAAGTTTATCAAAGAATGTCCTCAAACCCAGCATCAAACCAGGGCTATCTGCAGATTAGATGGAATCCTAAAAACTTGGAGATCAGAACTAAATCTGTTGAGAAGACTCTGGAGCCATTGGTAACACAGGTAAGTCTATGAGTCAGGAAGGTGCATGTGATGCGAGGGGTGTTTATCATTGATCGATCATTCATCATCTCATCTTGGTCCTTGTCTACCTTGTGGTTTTAAGGTGATGTATGAACAGTGGAAAAGGGCTTCATAAAAAGTTATTTCTCCTGTCTGTCATAAGCATGGTTGGCGTCTCTTTCGATTCTCACTTGGTATGTACATCATTGCTTGTTATCTTCTTCTTTGTCTTCTTTGCTTTCATCAGCTGTAAATTCCAACGGAAACATCTGGTTTTTATCCACTTCTGGACTTTGGTCATGTTCCAGAACCCAAGTTTTACATGCACGTCTGTTTTACAGATCTAGCTTATTGATATGCAGACTATTAGTTCCTCATCTCTCAGGCAGATGACTCTTACTTCAAAGTAAATTCCCTAATTAGTTAAATCTTATGCATGCTAGAAGCAGTGGATCTGTTCTTTTTCTTTCTTTCCATAAAATGCCCAGGAATCTACATAGGGAATTGCTTTTTTTTAAATTTAATGTCCATTGACAGCTGAGTTAAGTGAATACTTGTTATTCAATAATTTTCAATAGAACAACTCAATTTGAAATGGAGCTGCTGTTAAAAAAAAATTGAAAATCATGATGCTTATATGAAATCAAGAAACATAATATTCTTCTCAAAATATGATCTGGGGAAGAGCTGAAGGTGAACAAGCTTTTATGGAGGAACCCTTTCTTACTTTCAGTGAAAGTTACCTTTTATACTACAAGTAGAAGTATCTTTAACATATCCAGGAATTTCTTTCATAACTCATCATCAGTGCCATCTCTGTCATGTCATGTTTGGGCCTGTTCCTCTTAACCCTTTCGCTGCTATGGACGAGATAACTCGTCTGCCCGGCAGACTGCTAAAGACGAGATAACTCGGCTGCAATTTTCTGTGTCCTCACTGCTAAGGACGAGATATCTCGTTCTGGACATTTTTTTACAGATTGCTAAGGACAGTAATTCTTAGGGGTGAAAAAGCAATACACATTAACTTAATCTGATTAAACTGACCCGTTTACATACAATTAAAACCTTTATCAAGTGAGTTTAGGCGTATTTAAATGCATTTCACATTATCCTGTTTCTTTGTTACCATAGAAGCATTGTCGGTGATCGGTAATTTTTTTGCCCTGAAATATATTTCTGGCTTTGCGTTAGTCTAAATTTTTTTTTTTAAATACAAAATAACAAGAACATTTGTTTAAATAAAGAAGAATTAATTGAGTTTCTTTCAAGGAGTAGTAGTAAGGATCACTTTGAAACGTGTGAGTTATATGAGCTGGGTTATCTTCGCGGTACGCCGACGGACACGTGTACTTCTGGCTGTGAACAAGACTGACCAGTGACCATATGACCTAGCTATCTACATCGACTGGATTTGAAACAGATCCAAAATAATCACACAAAAAAAATATGGTCACGTACTGACGTGATGATTAATATTAATGTTAATTATATACTATACAACTGACATAAATGTGTTTGTCTATTAAAGTGTACAATACTGGTCTTTTTTTCAGTTCATAGTTTCATGTGAATTTCTAGTGTAGTTGGTATCATGTCTGCCTTACAATCGAAAGGTCCAGCGTTCAACCCCCACGTGCCGTTTTTTTTAAAATTAATTATTTTAAATGCAAATTTTAAATTTAAGCTGTTAGCATTTTCGGCAACAGAGAACCAAAGTAACAATTAATTAAACATCCTGTCACGTGCGTTCAGGTGGATTTAGATGCTTTACACGTTATGTGAAGCGTGGTTGGTGTACTGTGCACATTCATTATATAAAGTTGTGGGGAAAAGCACACCTGTTGCCGAATTTCACTTAATGTTAGTAAGAGAAATTCTACATAAATATTGCAAGGAAAAGAGAAAAAGTATAGGAGGACAAAAAAGTGAAGATCTGCCACTTCGTTTAGTACAAAGGCATTTCCCTTCAATAATAGAGTCCGTAACATCGCAGAAAAAATTCCCAACCAGAAAGTGTGTGGTATGCGCAGAAAGCAAAAAACGACGGAAAACCAGATACATGTGCAAGGAATGTGATTTGGCATTGTGTGTCGCACCTTGTTTTGAAATATTTCACACACAAAGATATTATTAATAATAATAAAAACCATGTATTTGCTTACTAAAGTGTTTTGTGTTTGCTTTGTAAGTTTGTAGTGTTTTCTTTTTGTTAATGAGTTTTCACGGCGTAGTAATAGCGCGTCTGACTTGTCAGCGCAAAGTTCAACCACACGCCTTCAACTATTTTTTATTTTAGGTGTACAATTTTTACCCCGTGCCGCAAGCGCGTCTTCTGCTTTTGAAGGAAAAAACGGTATTCAGCACAGGGGGAAAGATTAGCTCTCGCCTGGCTTAGCACAGTGGTTACGTTGGCTGGCGGAGGGCGCAGCAGCGAAAGGGTTAAATGTCACTTTTTTTACTTGTCTGTAGTTACCTGTTTACGAGATATATATTGGATTCTTCTGTTATATAAAGAAATGTAATATTCTTCTGAAAATGTGATCCAGGGAAGAGTTGAACGTAAACAAGCTTTTATAGAGAAATTCTTTTACATTTTCAATGGATTACAACCATTCATGCTACAAAAAGAAGTACCTGTTTACATGTCTAGGGATTTCTGTTGTAACACATCATCGGTGTCATCTCTACACCTAGTTCATCATCATCATTATGTAGCAGGTTCTTTTCAGAACATTGCTCTTATCACCATCTGCCTGAAAGCAAATCTGTTTCTTGTCAGTTCTCCCTCCTCATGTACTTTCATACTCAAGAGTCGCTTATATCCTGTGCCCCTCCTTGTGCTGCCCCTGCCCCTCCTTCCAGGCTCCATGGCTTCAGCTATTGTTTTTTCCAATCGCTGTGGTGCTTAATGTGGCCAAAGTATTTCAGCTTTAGAGACAAGAGGATGTTTATTTATCAATCTTCCTTGATGTTCAGATCTTTTGGGTGTCAGTATTTCTTTTCTTCTTTGTCCGTAGTGTTCTGAGAATATTTCTATAACATTTCAGCTCAAAGGCCACTATTTTCTTCCTGAAGGACTGCGAGATAGTTCATGACTCACATCTATATGTTGCTACAGGGATGATGCACCTAATTTAACTACAGGTAATCTTCAACACTGACCGCATCTTCACTTTGCACTCAAAGAGGCTTATTTCAGTAATGTTTTTTGTGTGTTAATCGTCGTTGATAATATTTCCAAGCTTAACGAAAGCATATTTCTTTGGATCTAACAGGTAACAACACTTGTGAATCAGAATGGGCCTTCCAACAGGAAGAAAGGAAGGTCGAAAAAGGCTCACGTTCTCAGTGCTGCAGTGAAGAAAGCTACTGAGAATTTTATCATTCAGGGAGAACAGATAGCACACGAGTATCCTGAAGTAGAAGATGATATGCTTGCAGCCATTGATGAAGTAAGAAAGACCGGTAAGTTGAATGAATTTAATCCTAGCTTTTGTTTGTTGGACGATTTGGCAGCAGATAACGTCTTGGGTTGGTTTTAACAGTGGTGCTGAGAGTTGACCATTCATTAAGCAGTGGCAATCTACTGAACGTAAAATTTGCCTAGAAAAACCACACAGCCAAAAAATGCTGGGGGTAGTTCTGCAACGTCCTGTGAAGGATTGGCAACTGACTTGTTTTGTTTGTTGGTTGGGAGGGAGGGGGGGGGGTTGTGGTGTATTTATTTTTGTGGCACAATGATTTCAGTCACAGGCAAAAGAGAAAGTTGAGACCACTGTGCTGTTATAAGGAGATATTCCATACTTTACGGGCAGCAGCAGGATCTGTGCTGGTTTTACTGATCCTTATGCAAGACCTGTGCCATGTTCTTGTCATGCACCATAAATAAGAGCACCTCTACCAGCCTAAACTGAGCAGACATGGGATCTTGGAGTTAGTGGCCCCTTGAGATGCAGTGTCCATAAATCCTCTGGCACTGATCATCCCCCCCCCCCCCATCAACAGTTTGCTCATAAGAGGCATAAATCCATAATGTTTGGGCATGGCATTATAAAGGTAAAACTTGTCAGATGTTACAGCCGGAGTACTGGAGTGGAACAGAGGCAGAGGGATTTTCCAGAATTCTAATGGGACCATGACACATTTTTATTTTTTCTAGCATCACCGGAGCACAACGGTTAAGAAGATCAGTTCATTTTATTTACATTGAATTTCTCTTATGTTCAGGAGAGACTATGGATGATGCTTCCCAAGAGTTTGCTGCTGACCCCTGCTCATCTGCAAAGAGAGGAGCCATGGTGCGAGCTGCTCGAGCCTTGCTGTCTGCTGTGACCCGCTTGCTTATTTTGGCAGACATGGTTGATGTTCACCTCTTACTGAAATCTTTGCATTCGGTTAGTTATGTTTGTTGCAGTTTTGTAAGATTTATTAAAATTGTTTTTTTTTCCTCTTCTGTGTTTTTCCCTAAAACACCAGTTGACATGTTATGTTGGGGTTTCAGTTGTATTATCTTTACTTTTTGGCCTAATGCATTTGATTTCAGCAAATCCCTAAATTGTCACTTTTTAATAGAGGGACATCCCCCCCCCCCCTTCTTTCCCACCCCTTTTCTTCAGCGGCCGTGGTTCTTAATCCACTTCTGTATTTTGCTACTGTCCCAGGCTTTAAGTTTTACTTGCACATCCGTTTTACAGATGTAGATTATTTGTATGTCAGGCAGATGCACTTCAACTTTGAAGGGAAAGATCCTATCTACTTAGTCACTAGCCCTTCCCCCCACCCCCCCCCCCCCCCAGATGTGTCTTGTCCAGCATGAGCCATGATCATATTGCAGCATCGCTTGTAGGTCCGCACCTTTGCATCCTATAGAAGATTAAATATAGATGCATTTCTCATTATCATAGTTCATACTGATGTCAAGACTTTATGATTTCTGTCTAAAATACAATATGAATAGACCCTTTTCCAAGATCACAGCCTTATGTTAGACTAGTGAAAGTTTTGTTTGATTATGTCATATTTTGCTGTTTTACTAATTTAAAGATGTCATGCAGTTTTTGTGGGGTGTCCATGTCTTAGGCGTTGCTAGTACAACTCGTAATTCCAACATACCGCAATTGAAACCCACTGCTGGCTGCATGTTTTTTTTTTATCATGGTATGGGGCGTCGCAGGTCGACCAAGCCTAAAATGGGTACCAGGATGTATTTCCTGGGGAAGTAAAGGTGACCGACGTAAAGCTGACCCACCTAGTGCCGATTATTCTGTAAAAATATGGGGTTCACTTCCCATGTGCTCGATGCGAAAAGGGATCTTTGCTTACTTACTATGCAGTTTGAGTAAGTTATATATTATAAAATATTTTTTTTTTCATTGACATGCCAGGTGGAAGGTGATCTTGAAGGCATTAAAAATGCAACTAGTCAGCAGGAGCTGATGGATCGATTTAGAGATTTTGGAGAAAGCATGGCAGAGTTGGCAGACCTTGCAGCAAGAAGACAGGCAGTATGTTTATATATTATTGAAATATTTTCCTTTGTGGTCATTGTAATTTGTTGTTGATTTTTTTTTTTGAACTGCTAAGAAATGTGGGCCGCATGCTTGTTACATTTGTGTTCTTTGCCTTAGAAACATGAACAAGATTGCATATATACATAGTGGTGATAGTCAACGGATAGCCCAAGAGCTACAGTGAAGTGTAGACAAGGTGACTGATTGGTGTGCAGAGATGGGTGCAGTCATCAACTCATAAACAATTCTGTTTTGGGGTGCTTTCTGGACAATAGAATTGTGGGAGCTAATGTTCCAAGCCTCACAGTTAATGACAGAAACATCAAAAGAGAAAGCAAACTGAGGTACCTGGGTATCATTTTCGATAGGGATCATGTAGAGGCAGTTGCTATAAAAATGTCAACAACAACAAAAAAACAACTAAATACTGTAAAGATTATGGCAACAATGAACATGGAACAAAGAATGCTGGTCACAGTGTTCCAGCATGTGATCCTGTGATTATGAGCTTGGAATGCTTACCATATCACAGAGTCAACTGATGATGAAACTTAAACACATATGGAATGAAGCCTTGCGGGTAATTCTGGGATGTACTAGAGACACCCCGGTAATGTGTATGCAATATATTAATACACTGCCTACTATTGCCGTTAGGCTGAAAGTTCTGAAAGCAAAGTCATATCTCAAGAGTAGCTGCAAACAAAAAGCACCTCCTTTCTGAAGCCCTAGGTAGAGCTAAGGGTCACAGACTGAAAAGAGGAAGGTCTTAGATGGAGCAAACTGAAGACACAATTAGACGTGTGTGCACGCTTGATAAATTTGGGGGAGGAGAGGAGTGGGTCAAAGTGTAAGGTTCTAATCACTTTAGGCCATGAGTGCAGGGACTGACCAGCCGGTGCTGCAGAATCAGAAGAGCACTTATGGGAGTGCCCCGAGTGCTGTGATGTCGATTCTTAATTCAGCATTAAAAAGATTGTATACATTTATTTTGCCAAAGTAAAATAGTTTACATGCATTACTGGGCTCATAAAACAAGCCTGGTACGTGACACTAGATTCTTTTCTTTTTCAGGATCTCAAGGATCCTCGTAGACAGGAGGAATTAGCTGCAGCCAGAGCTACCCTAAAAAAGAACAGCATGATGCTTCTTACAGCCTCTAAAGTAAGATATGAAACAGAATCACCACAGCTCTGGGACATCTATGAATAACATAGACTTCTTACCAAAAGTTAAGATTAGGCACACACACATACACAAATATTGGATGCCACCGTGGTGTACCAGCTAGATGCTCACTTGTGGATCCAAGGTCGTGGATTCAGATCCGAACAGAACCATTCTTTTTTTATGTTGAACAGATGGGTTTTAATCCACTCTGAGACAGATTTCTATTATAATAACTGACCTTGGCTCCTAGGTCAGTCCAGCCTTAAATGGGTACCAGCCAAAGTCCTGGGAAGTAAAGGCAGCGGGAGTGATGTTGACCACATCACCCACTGAGTGTGGATTGATCTGAAAACATGGGTCTGGCACTATATATCCAGTAAGCCTAAAGGCGTGGAAAAGGTCCTTTTTATGGCAAAAAAGTTACTTATGTGTTAGTGGAGCTCATACTTTAATACTGCAAGCTATGATGCGTATCATAATGGGTATATTGGGTGTAAAGAAACCGCAGAGGGCCTTTTTTTCATGCCAGTTGCCCATTGAATATATGCTGCCACTCATTACTTCCCAGGACATTTCCTGGTATTCATTGTAGACTGGGTCTGCTAGTGAGCTAAGATCAGTTATTAGAAAACAAATCTGTCTCATAGTGGATTCAAACCCAGGAGCTTGAGGATAGTCGTTATTTGAGGTTCCGACTTCACTGCAGATGGGTTACCCTATAACTGCTCCCCTTCCTGTGCCATTGGAAATTACACATGTCCTTTACTGTCCCACTTGAAGTTTACACATGCAGAGTAAATGGATGTCATGGATTCCTCATGGATAGATGCTTTTGGGCTGAGTGAGTTTGAATCCTAACACTCTACCTCCACCTGAGAGTCTGGACTAGTATCTGAGTTGAGTTAATACAAAGTCCTGGATATCCAAGAAAACATCCATATTTGGCTCCTACTATACATTAACAGTAGCTGCACTTGGTACCTCAGGAGATGGAAAGGGGTTTTCGATGTCTAAATTACTTTAATAAGTGAATGGTTAGACAGGGCAGATGACTCCCTCCTGAAACTTTTTTCTGGTACAGAATGAAAAGATAAACCCCCACCAAATGTGATTCTATTCATCAATTTAGTTAAAAATGTAAGAACAAATACTCTTGAAATTTAACAAACATTCTAGTATAAAATTTGCAATATTGATTTAATATACTATCACTCATTTAGATGACATTTGTCATTTTGCAATATTTGAACAAACAGTGAATGGCTGATGGTATGGTGGTAATGGGGTGTTTCAGCTAGAGCAGTGAGCATTTAAGATTATGCTAGTATCCTTTATTCTTAAGACATTTACTAGTACACATTGTTAGGTTACTTTAACATGTGAGCTCATCTTAATTTTTCCAGATTCTATTCAATAGGGATTCAATCTTATCACCAACCGACTGGCAGGTAATATTGCTAGCCGATCAGTCAGGTGCAGTCTTCACAATGAAGATTAGCAGCAATCTCCAACACTTTCTGTCTGTTACCACGGATGTACTCTCTTAGACTCATTTTTTAATGTCATCTTCCCACTTAAATCATTTTCTACCCTTTGCTCACTTGCTATCAACTTTTCCCTTCAGTGTGGTTTTTATAAGAATGTTATGTCTGTTATGTGTATGGCCAAAATCTGGGAAGGCTAAACTGGTCAACAAATGCCTGCCCAAGATGTGTGTTTCTGCCAAAAGATGCAAATATCACAGACATGCTGAAAATTAGCACAGTGCGATTACATTTTCGGATGAGCACAGAAGAAGATATGGCTAAAATATTTCACTTATTTGTTTGTAATTTCTGACAGCAACTCTCATTTTTCTTCTCAGAACCTGTGTATTTGATTTTTTTTCTCCCTTGAATACAGCCTTTTCTTCTTTATATCCACATCTTAACAGACTCAGCTGAGTTGTCTAATTGCTTGCCACTCCAGCTTTCTGTAATATACTCATATATTGTCTAGTTTTGTGTTGTTGCCTTGTTAAAGAAAAAATCCTTCATATTTCTTCTGATAGGTTTATGTGAGGCACCCAGAGTTGGCTGCAGCCAGGTCAAACCGAGACTATGCGTACAAGCAACTGTGTGATGCTGTTAACGCCATATCTGATGTGGCTCAGGCATCTGGCCAGTCTGAAGCTCACCCATATGAAGGACAAGGAGAATTAGCAGCAGCACTGAATGAACTTGATGTAAGAAGAAGCCTTTCATCTACTTTCCTTTTCTTCTCTTCTAGCAGTTATGAACTTCATTAGACAACCTTTTCAGACTTAATTGATTTATAATTTGGTTTATGTTTATTTTTTCTTAAAAAGATATTTTTCGTGTTATGTTTTCCTCTTCTTCAGCGTCTGTGGCTTAGGCATTGCGAACGCGCTTCGTGATGCCGGGGTGCCTGGTTTGATTCCTGCTGCGGACGATTTGTCTTGAGCTGGTTTCGACATTGGTACCGAGAGCTGACCATTAAAGAAGCAATGGCAATCTACTGGCGTAAAATTTGCCTAGAAAAATCACAACGGCCAATAAATGCTGGAGTTGGCTCGGCAACGTCCTGTAAAGGATGCGCAACTAACTTTTCCTCTTCAGAAGAATAATTTCTTTGTGACTAACATTTCATTAATATAATATCTATATCCTCTTCATGTCGATGTTGACACATACGGCATTCACAAGTCATCTCCATTGCTGCCGGTCTGCTGCTTTTCTGCCCATGGCATTTCATGTCAGTTTATATTCCTTCATTTCCGGTTCTATTGCCCCTCTCCGGGTTTCCTTAGGTCATCCACGTCTCCTTTTCCCATCTGCTGTCCACCGGAGACCTGTTTTTGCCAGAGTGTCACAAGGCATTCTACAAACATGTCCAAGCCATCTCCATTGTCTGTCTTTGATAACATCTGCCAGTGATGCACATTCTGTTTTCCTCCTCAGTTGTTCATTTGTGATCTTGTTTTATGAATTATTATATATCTACCATATATTTGTGTGTTTACATCTCTCCACAGATCTTAATCTTTGATGCTCTGAATCAGTTGTAAATATTTCTCCTCGCCACAGCATTAGACTATTCATGATCATTTCTCTCAGTCTGCCTCATCTTCTTGCAGTGATGATTCCAGCCATCACAGTGATTTCCACTTACTCTAAAGATAACTACGTTGGTAGAATTTTTAGATTACTTTAGCTTACACAAAATAAAGATAGAAAACTATGTTGGTAAGGTAAAAAAAATTCCCAGAACTGCGTATGTATTATAAATTTTCGTCTTATTTACAATAATTATTGATTGAATTTTTATGTTTGATGTACTGTTTGTATAAATCATTTGAATAAAAAATAGTGTTTAAAAATATAAATTTGGCTTACGACCTGTTACTCGGAACAGAACTTGGTCTTACGTCGATGATACAACCTGCACATGAAAATTCAGTTTCATAGCATCTGACTATTTCACTTTAAAAAAAAAATCGGTTTAGGTTTTCCCCATCTGTATTTGGTTTTTGTTTCCCCCTTATTTCCTTTATAATAAATAATGTTTATTCTCCATGTGGGTTCCGGGACCCTGTTTTGTGTTGGAGAAACAAGAAAAGATCCACTACCTCCCCAATAAGTATATGGTAAGAGTTGACTAATTGGGAGCTTCCTTCGAAGTCAGAGTGCATCTGCCTGATAGGCAAGGAACCAACAAGTTGCATACAAGTAAGTCAGATTGGTTAAATGGATGTGCATGCGGCACTCAGGTTCTGGAACATGACTAGTGTCCAGAGTTGGATAAACAACCAGAACTTTCTGCCCGAGTTTACAGCCGGTGAACGTGAAGAAGAAGAAGAATGTTTATACATCCAGTTGAAATTTAATTTTTACCCACGAATATTGTTTAACATTTTAAGATTATAATTATATTGTTAATTTAGTTAAAATAATTTATTTATTTACATATATCCAATCGTCATGAATTGATAACAATTTATTTCTATAAAAATATATATATTTTTTAAAATAATATAGTTATGGCTGAATAAACAGTCACATTTATCTGACACATTCCTGATAGATAAAGAATTGACATCTACATTTTTAATGATTTAGTTACACTGATTGAATCTGTATCTGTGTTTCTGATCATGCTTGACTGGATTAAAATGTCTTCCTAGCGAAAGATCATCATGGACCCCCTGACTTACAATGAAGTTCGTAGCCGCCCATCCCTGGAGGAAAGAGTTGAGAGCATCATTAGTGGAGCAGCACTTATGGCCGATTCATCATGTACTCGTGATGACAGGCGGGAACGTATTGTACAGGAATGTAATGCAGTTCGACAAGCTCTGCAGGATTTGCTTACAGAGTACATGAATAATGTGAGTGATTAAAAAAAATTGTTAACATTTATTCTTCTTTTGTTCTCACACTTGTAATCTTGGTTTCAGCTTCATAGCAAACGGATCACCCCATGGTTGCTCCGCTCCTGTGCCAATGAAAAACAAACAGAATGTCCATTACTGTCCCTTGTTAAAAATGTTATGTTGAATTCTTCGTTTTCTTCTTTGCGTTCGGTTTCATCTGCTCAGATCAGACCATCAGGTCTCTGTAAACTTGCATGTCAGTAGCAGGTCCTTCATGGTTCCCCATAGCTTGCTCTGCACACTTTGCTCTTGGGGCCAGATGACTTTTTGAAGTTGTAGGTAGAATGGGCAGTTAGCTCTCTCCACAATTCCTTGTATTTTCCCTTGATAAGTGTTTTAATTTCTGGTAATGACAGGAGATGGGTGCGTTGTTTCTCCTTTGTTCCATTTTTTGCAAGTCTGCTCATTTCCTGGTATGCCACAGTGAGCCGAGAATGGTTTAATTGCTTTCTGTGAGTCCTTTTTAGCTGACGAGTCATTTCTCTCTCTCTCTCTCTCTCCATGTTGTCTCGTGGATCCATCTGAGACACCTGGAGGACTGACATGCAGTCACAAAAGAAAACAATTTTGTGTGTTTAATTTTTTTCTTTCCTCAAGAAGTTTGGCCAGAAGTCGCCTCCAGCTCATGGATTTGTGTGCTTCTCATACCTACAGTGATGGTTCTGAGACAAGTGTTCTGTATTTTTTCCAGTTGGTGTAGGTTTGATTTGACTGCAGTGTTGAATTTAGAATCGACAGCACAACACTCAGGACACTCCCATAAGCGCTGTGTCTCCATCTTCAGCAGCAAGCAAAAAGTTGCAATTCAAATGACACCAGTAACTGTCTGATTGTATATCTGTCTTGCCTTTCCCTTGAGTGTTGAAAAATTGACGTAGACTGCAATCTCAGCATATCGACTACTAGCATACACACACACATTAAAAGCATGAGACAGCCATCAGAAATGCATCTGCTATGAGAGTAAAGTCCAGTGTGGGAATGGCACTCTCTGCCATAGTGTACATAAAAATGATGATGCTGTATTTTACTGGGGCTGGTTTTCTCTCAGATGTCCTCTAAAATGATGATGCTGTATTATACTAGGGCTGGTTTTCTCTCAGATGTCTTCTCTCTATAGCTTGCTGCATTTGGCCTCTTTAAAACTGTGACAGTCTGTCTTTGACCATCTGCCTCCATGGAAGTCATCTGCAGCTGATCTCTCCCAGGTGTCTGTATCAATGTTGATATCTTTCAGTTGCATTTGCTTAGCCATGGCCTTCCTGCAGATCTTCTCGCTGTTACCAGTTCATCACACAAGAGATCCTTTGGAATGTGACCATCCTCCATGCAAGAAACATGTCCCAACCAGCGTTGGCGTCTTTGCTTCAGTAGAAATTACATTGCTGGCATTCCTGCTCTTTTGAGCATACATTCGTTGGGGACAAAGATCGCTTAGTGTGTAGGGAGTTTCTTTTCTTCACTGTGCTTTTTTGACAGTCAAAATTAGTTTTTCCTAAGCCTTCTACATTGTTAGAAAGGAGATTACATTTAACTCTTCTGGTTATAATAAATGTACAGTATATATTATTCCATTTAATGAATTAAAAAAATTGTTGTTCCTGATACCGTTGTGAAACTTAAATGCTGCTCTTTATTTTCATACTCACCTACTGGTCTTGTGGCAAAAGGTTTAAACTTGCCTGAATGGATTTTGAAAACTGACCTAAGCTGGATCAATGCAAGTAAAATTGGGCACCAGTAGGTTCGAGAAAGTAAAGGCAGTCATTTTGATATTGACTAGATCATACATTGATTGGTATTGGTCTTTTAACACTTTCACCCTATGAATACAGAAAAAGAAAACATAAATTATTGATCCTGGATTTGTAGAAATTTCCAGAAAACAATTCTTTAAAAAAAAAAAATTTACATAGGTTACTAATTCATTTAAATAAAAAAAAAAAAATCTTTATTGTACATTTTCTTGAAGTACATACATAAAAGGTTAATCGATAAACATAAATAGAGTGAAGTATTAAATGGAAACCATTCCCAGGGGCATAACAAAAATGTCGGGCTATTTATGCTATGACCCCGTGACCTCTATCACTGAGGCTTAAATGAGGGACAATTTGACATCAACTTGGCTTTGGAAAAAGCCATTGGGGTCATAAGAAAAAAAAAACTAAATGCTATTGTTAGTTCCTAAATTCATATCCTGTTCTGTTAAACACAGCGTAGCGCACATAGTACCAATGTAATTTAACTTCACTCTTTTAATCAGGTCATGCGACATGACCATATATCGACATTTACAGGGATGTAGCACAACTTAAAAGTGACTAAATTTAGACTTCTTGGACAAACTGGTAAGCAAGTTTGGAGCTAAAATGCTTCTTAAATGCATATTAACTGGGAAGTTAACCTAATCAACAAATGTTTGATAAGTCGGATGTGTCAGCCAAACGGTGCAGATATCGCATCTTTGCTGTAAATAGGCAAGGCACAACGCAATAACATCACTCAAACAAACGGAAATAAAAAGAAGAAATGTATGTTAGAGTATAAAAATGTGCCCTCTGCTTGCTTAATCTTATAATCATTATAAGTTATGTAGTGGTAAGTTCTATGCTTCCTATAGCATAAGAATGTATATGTTTGTAACTAATTCACTTGCATCTTCTTTGTTAACTTTATTAAGGCGGGGAAGAAAGAACCTAGTGAAGAACTGGATCAAGCTATTGACCAAATGACAAAGAAGACAAAAGATCTGAGAAGACAGGTTGGTTTTCTTAGCTTAGAGATATTTCATGAGTTGAATTTCAAGAATTTACATCACAGGATGTTCCCATAAGCGCTCCTTTCCCATCTGCAGCAACCAGCAAAGAGTTCCAGCTCTGGTGGCACCAGTTGCTGTCTAATTGTATGCCTGTCTTGTCTTTCGTCTGAGTATTGAGTGTCGGCCAGATTGTCTGGTCACTCCCTGTTGCAACATTCTCTAGACTGGAATGATCTAATTGTGTCCCTCCACTGTGCACTCACTACCAAAAGGCTTTGACAACATAGAGATATTTCATGTTCAAAATCTTTCTAACACCATATTTGTGGTTTTCCTGAGTGCACTCATGTTGTTTCTTCATCAGAATCTCATTCATTATCACAGTATTGTAAATCTTCATTGTATTTATTAATATAAAGAGATATTTACAATTTTAGTGATTACATTTTTGAAGAAATTGTTCAAGTAAATTGTCTAAGCTTAGAAATATTTTTTTAATGTTCTCAGAATGTTTCAGTAATGACAGATGATATTTACAATTTTAGTGATTACATTTTTGAAGAAATTGTTCAAGTAAATTGTCTAAGCTTAGAAATATTTTTTTAATGTTCTCAGAATGTTTCAGTAATGACAGATGATATTTACAATTTTAGTGATTACATTTTTGAAGAAATTGTTCAAGTAAATTGTCTAGGCTTAGAAATATTTTTTTAATGTTCTCAGAATGTTTCAGTAATGACAGATGTCTTGAGTGCACTGATGTTGTTTCTTTGTAATAATCATGTTCATTATCACCACATTAACTGTAAGTTTGTGTGATCACCTTTTTATATTCATAAAAGAAATACCAGTTAAATAAACATGTTCATAAAAAAAAAAGGAAGGGAGAAGAGGATGAGACTTTTGGTTGGGGAACTTCCTGTATGGGTTCTGGGGCCTCATTGGAAGGGGGGGGGGGGGGAGAGACTCAGTGTGGAACCCCCTCAACAAAAATATTGTAGGAAGCAAATAATTATGGAGCTTTCCTCCAGAGTCAAAGTGCATCTCTGCCTTAGAGATGAGTAACCGACTGCCTACAATAAAGCTAGATCTAGAAAATGGATATACACATACAAAACTCGATATCTAGAACAAGAACAAAGTCCAGAAGTGGACAAACAACCATAACTTTCTGACAAGAGTTTACAGCTGGTTAACACTAAAAAAGAAGAAGGGGTGGTTGGGGAACTTTGAGAAATAGTAAGCAGACCAAAAAAAAAAAAAGAGAATAGTTGTTTTCCTAATATATTGTGCATCTGTGTTTCTGCAGTGGCAAACCACCAGATGTAAAACTGCTTAGTAAAACCACAGTAACAGTTTGCTATGTCCTGTAATTGGGTGTTCTTCAACCTTTTTACACTTGTGGAATGGGGAAATAGAAAAAGTATTGTGCTGCCGGCTATAACAGAACAAATGCAAATCTAGATAGCATTCTGTTTCTTAAATACAAACTTATCATAGTAAAAAAATTTTTAAGCTGATTGGACATTTGCATCTTAGATGTTATATAAAATATGATATACATGGCTAGAACATTATTTCTGAGAGACAAAGCCCTGCAGTAACTTCCATTCGATTTATGCATCTGGTTTCCACTGTAGCTCCTACATGATTGGGCGGACATTTTGGTATACCACCAGAAAATTTTCATGGACTACAAGTTGAAGAACATGGCTGTAAAGAATTTGCAATAAACTTGCTTTAACACCTGCCTAATATTGTACTTTTTTTTTCCAGTTGCGAAAAGCTGTGGTGGACCATGTATCTGACACTTTCTTGGAGACCAGTGTACCCTTGCTGGTGCTGATCGAAGCTGCTAAAGCTGGAGATGAGAAAGGAGTGGAGGAATATGCTTTAGTGTTTATGGAACATGCCAACAAACTTGTGGAGGTGAGTTAAGCGAAAACTGTGAGTGTGCATGCATGTGCAGGCTCTTTTCGGGACTATGATAATCTGAACACCAGTGCATAAGACTTAGAACTTTCCCCATATGGTTTCAGTGGCATACTTTTTTTTCCGGGGATGGGGGTGGGGGGGGGGGGGGATAAAACAGGAATAAACCCACTACCCCAGGAAGAGATATGCTGTAAAAGGCCACTACCCTAATTATCCGAGTATAAGTCGCCTCCATGTATAGGACGATGCCTTTTTTTAATTTTAGCCCAAAATTTAGAAATAAATTGTTTAATCACGTATAAGACGGCTGCCAACAGAGTTATAAGACAAAGATGGTGGCGATATGTTGGACACATCCTGAGAAGAAAGTAGCAGAGTGCTGAATAGGCACTAAAATGGCAAACAGAGGGAATTGGGGAAGTGAGAATGTTTTAAAGAAACCATAAAATGAACATTGATGAGGCCAAAAATGCTGGAGTGGATTCCGTCCATGATTTTGAAGAGATTGCACAGGATAAAAGGGAATGGAGGAATAGACTGCAAACCCTATGTGACATATAGTGGCTCAAGAGGACGATAATGAGGATGTTGTTGTGAAGGTGAAAGGCGCAGGTATCGCAGTGTAGCTGTAAAACACAACACAGAGTGCCAGCCTCCCCTTTGAGGGCAAACACAGAAGAAAAGGATAATCTGAAAAGCCTTGAAGCAGCCTTCAACAATCTTCCCTCTACAAACAGTGCAGGTTCAACTACCACATGCATAAAATAAAGACTGTACAGTCCCTACAGTGTGCCTGTCAAACAGGACCATAAATTCCTGAGCACATTCTGTGGACCTGCCCACTTTACCTACAGCTTTGAAAAGAAACCTGGCCTCAAGAGGAAAATGTGCAGAGCAAGCTATGGGGAACCATACTGCTGACATACAAGTTCACAGAGACAACCCGCCTAATGGTCTGATCTGAGCATACGAAACCAAACACTGAGAAGAAGAAGAAGAGCCTTGTGTCAAGCAGTGGTTTTTAAATCTGTCCTAGATCAAATATAAAGGTTGACCTTACAATGCATAATGACAGCGCTAGCTAATGGTTATTTTCTCAGTGCGTAAAGAGTTTCTTCTCTGACAACAGAAATGGTGTTGTATAATGCTTAGTGTTTTTTATCCTCCGGGCTAGTCCTTAGTGAGAAATCATTTTATTGTTTACAAAAGGAGAATATCGTCTTCTTCTTCTTCTTAGCATTTACCGGCTGTAAATGGCAGCGGAAAGTTTGTATTGTTTTTTTTTCCACTTCTGGACTTTGTTTCAAAACTTCAGTTTTACTGCACATATCTGGTTTATTTATGTTCAGACTGTTGGTTCCTTGAATCTCAGGTAGATTCACTCCAACTTGAAAGGAAACACCTCTAAGTAGTTGCCTTTTATGGTATGCTTGTTGGGGGTCGGGGATCTGTTCTTTTCTTTCTTCCTAAAACAGGGCTCCCTTAACCCACACAGGAAAAATAACATAATATAAAAATATTGGGTGAGAGCTGTTCTAGCACACATTATTTTTCAGACTTATCAAGTATTTTGGAGAAACTAAAGCTTTTACATTGATCATCTATGAGTGCTAATCATTCTCCATTAACTGTGATTTATTTTCTTCCAGGTAGCAAATCTTGCTTGCTCCATGTCCAGCAATGAGGAAGGTGTTAAGCTAGTGAGAATGGCAGCTGCAGAAATCGACCAGCTATGTCCTCAGGTGAGGATTTCTGTTTATTGTTTTTCTTCTCCTCATTCTGTTCTGCTTTTTATCCCCAGAAGGAGCATAACCACTCAACAAACACAAAGCTTTACTGTCTTTTGCAATATTTTATTTTATAATAAATATTCATACAACTTCCTTCATATCCTTTCAAATTATTAAACTCAGGTCTCACTTAAATGAATGAATGATGAATGACAGTAGGCGGCTTTAGTGCAGATGATAGGAGACTCACTTTTAAATCCAGCTGCGACTCCCTGCAATCCACAACTAGTGTTGGTTCACCCAGCCTCTAGGTAATGGGTTCCAGAGTTAACTCTCTAGAGTAAATTGAGGAATGTCGCTGTAGCAATGGATTTTGCTTGCGAACGGCGACACAGGCGGACAGTTTCTTATCAGCTGTCCATACTGGTGGCAGTAGTAGCAGTAGTAGATTTTTACCCCACCAGGACAACACACAAGTGATAAACACCCGATGACAAAAAGTGCCACCATTTGGATAAGAATCACCCGTGGAGACGTCCCAGAAACCGCGTTCAGCCATTAGACCATATTTATGGTCAGGCTATATTGCGGCCCCTGTCAATAGCCAGAGTAGGGCTTCAAATAACAAAAAATTGCATCTCACAAGGAGATGACAATGTGTAACTGGTGGCAGAACACTTATGGTTTATAACCGTGTGCAGTCATGCTGGTTCACATTTCCCCACTTTTCCTTTTTATGATGAATGAAATAATCAAGAATTGACATAACTGCACTTGGGGAATTCCCATAAGACTCAATAAGTTGGAAGTTAATATTCAAATAAACTTGAAAGTGGTTGAAATTGAAGGTGCAGATCTCTAGGTTGATCAACAATTAGTCAGTCGAAGGATTATCAGAAAACCAGCTTTGTTGAAAAAATTTGTTTAGCGTTGAAGTAAAGTGTGATATTCTTAAATGTAGTAAATCAGTCATTCAGTAGACTGACTGATAATAGCTAAAAATGAACAACTGTTGATTGTTGCAAAAATGAAGCCTATTGATTTGTGGCTAATCATAGAATTCAGTTGATCAGCCAAGTCACTTAACTAGTTAATTGATAATAATAACCAAAATGCAAAAAATTGTTGAAAGTTTCAAGTTGAAGTAATCTGAAGATTCAGATAAGGCACAATGAGACCAAGAGTTTTTTTCTTTCTATATTGCTATTAATTCAGTTATTTCTGTGTGTTACAACAGTATATCATTTCTGGCCCTAGGTGATCAATGCAGCTAGAGTTTTGGCGGCTCGACCACGGTCTAAAGCTGCCCAGGAAAATATGGATGTTTTCAAAGATGCTTGGGAGAAACAGGTTCGCCTGCTGACTGAGGCTGTCGATGACATTACTACTATCCATGACTTCCTGGCTGTTTCAGGTACATAAATACATATTCCCACTCCCCAATATTTTGTCTTCGCTTCCTCTTTTACCGCTTTGGGTGTCGAGAGAAATATAAGGCTCTGCTTCTTGTCCTTTTGACCGCCTCAATCATTGACACACCGTGCTCTTGTTGAGTTTCTCTAATATTATCTTTCCATCTTGTTCTTGGTTTACCTTGTGCTCTATGTGCCTTGTATAAATGGCATCACAAAGCATTTTCTCTAAATGGGCAAACCATTTGAGTTGCTGTTTTGTATGTAATTTAGAATGAGTTCTTTCACAACTTTTTCTTTTGTGTGACCCCATTGAATTTGATCTTTTCTGGTCTCTCCTGCAGCCCTTCGACATCTCGTCTATGTGGCTACTAATTTTTTTTCTGATTTGTTGCGAGTGACCATGTCTAACACTTGAAGCATGGGACGGTAATCATCTTCTTCATCCATCCCGGCTGTAATCTCTGGCAGAAAGTCCTGGTTGTTGGTCCATTTGAACTTTTACTATGTACCAGGGCCTGAGTATTGGGCGTACATCCATTAAACTGGCTTATTTGTGTGCAGTTAGTTTATTAATTGCCGCTGGGGCAGATGCACTTCGACTTCGAAGGAAGTGCCCAATTAGTTGACTCTTACAATGTGCTTGTTGGGGGAGGCAGTGAGTCTGTTTTTGTTTTCCCCACAGTGGGGCACCGGAACACATGGGGGAGGACAGTAATGAATATGCTTCATTTGTTTCTCTGTTTTCTTTGTTCATGTTCATTCTATCCCCTTCTTTCAGCAGATATCATCATCATCAACTTTCATTATTGTTTTTAAGCGTCATGGAGAGGAACGGTTTTCAATCCATCACTTGACAGGTGACACTGGCCATTGTCATTCCATGTGCATGCGTTTTTTTCCTCCACTCACCTATAACAGACCAGTTGACACATAATGCTGTGATTTACAGCTAGGCTGCAGTGTCTGTCCCTTTTGGTCCAAAACATAAAATAATATAAGCAAACCCCTAATATGTTGCAATTGAAAAAAAAAAATTTTGAGGAGAGGAGAGGGGGGGGGGGTGTTCTGTAGTTTGTCCTCCAAAATTGTACCCCAGAATCTGCAAAAATCTGCACAGGGATGTGGTTGTATGATGTCTTTAAAATCACCAATTTATCTTCACTTTTGTGCCCTCTTGCTCTCACATCATATCTTCATAGGTGTAGTGCTTTCTCCCCCCCCCCTCTCTCTCTCTGTCTGTCTGTCTCTCTCTGTCTGTCTCTGTCTCTCTCTCTGTCTGTCTGTCTGTCTCTCTCTCTCTCTCCTCCTTCTCCCCCCTCCAATGTTGGACACTTCTGCAGTTTCATCTTCTTCTGTAGCAGCCAACATTTGCTGTACATCAAGATGGCTACTGTGATATTGATCATATCATTCCTCGGTGCCACTTAGTCTATAAAAATGTTTGGCGGAGAAGGTCTCCATGGCAAAGTGGTCAAGCTGTTTGCCTCATGGTCTAAAGGCCGCGGGTTTGTTTGCTGCATTGTTTGGTAAATAAGTGCATTTTTTACGGAGACCTTTGGGGGTTAGCGGTGTAGCTACATTGTTTGTTCCTTCTGCGCTGCACACAGCGGAGAGACCGAGCATATGGTATAAAACCCAGTGCAGTAAAATCGATCCTCCTTTTAACCTATAAAAATGTGGATCTAGTATCATATACTTAATATGTCTATTTAAATATTTTTTTTTTAAACTCTTGCATCTTCTTGGATTGCATTTTATTGTGGTTTAAACAACTGATCAGCATCATGGCACACATGTAGTAACCACCCATAAGTGCTTCGTTCTTTTTCTAACTCAAGTCTGAGTCCGAAGAAGCTCAGCACAGTGCACAGGCTCTGTAGCACTGGCGAGGATCCTGAAATACTTTGAGTAGATTGTTAACTCCAAATTTTGTCCGTGCAGCGCCGTTAGGCTACTCTTTTGATTTCCAACTGCCAATGGATTTTTTTTAACGTGCGCAACAATGCACATGGGCGTCACTACCCAGAGACCGGGGAGAATTACTAGGAGTCCAAATCCACGTGAAAAAATCCCAGCCCTTACCGGGGATTGAACCCAAAACCTCTAGCACTCGGGGCGGACACCATGCCTCGAGACCACGCAGCCTTTTATTTGCTTGCATTTTATTGTAAAATTAAGTAAAATATAAAAGTTGTATGTTGTTTTTCTTCTTCAGAAAACCACATCCTAGAAGATGTGAACAAATGTGTTATCGCTCTGCAGGAGAGTGATGCAGATACCCTTGACCGGACAGCTGGTGCCATTAGAGGCCGGTCAGCACGCGTCTGCACTGTTGTAGCTGCTGAGATGGACAACTATGAGCCAGGACAATACACCGAGAGAGTTATGGAGGCTGTTATTATGCTGAGAGATCAAAGTAAGCAGACTTTCTTAAAACTAATTGAAAAAAATATACATAGTTCATGTTGATCAAAGATATCTTATATGAGCAAAACAATTGCATGTGTCTGCATTGTTGTAGCTGCTGATATGAACTACTGTTAACCAGTACAATACACTGAGAGAAATATGGAGGCTGTTATTATGCTCAGAAATCAACTCCTTTAAAAAAAGTTATCAAATTGTCCTTTTGTTTGCAAAACCAGCAATGTTATAACTGCTGAGATGTGCAACTACGAGCCAGTATTGTTCATTCTTCTTCTTTTTCGCCTTCACCGTCTGTAAATTCCAGCAGAAAGTTAGGGTTGTTCATCCACTTCTAGTTTCTAATCCTGTTCCAGAACTTGAGTGTTGCCTACACATCAGTTTTACAGATCTGATGCATGTGAATGCAGATTGTTGGTTCTCTGCCTCTCAGGCAGATGCTGTCAGACTTGAAGGAAGTTTCCCCCTTAGTCAGCTTTTCAACATGCTTTTGGGCAGGCAGTGGATCTATTTTTGTTTCCTCCACAATAGGGCCCTGGAACCCACACTGAAAAATATCATTATGGATAAAGGTTATCCTCATCATCATCATAATTCCATAACATCATATGTCTTTGGGAACACCAGTTGCTGTTGACGTCTGATCAGCTGCCTCCATCGCTGTCAATCAGATGCTTCTTCATAGCGTTCACCAGCTGTAAACTTTGGCGGAAAGTTCTGGCTGTTCATCCACTTCTGAAATTTAGTCTTGTTCCAGAACTTAGGTTTTGCTTGCACATCCATTTTACAGATCTGGCTTATTTGTTTGCGGACTGCTGGTTCCTCACCTCTCAGACTGATGGACTCCAACTTCAGAAGAAGAAAAAACCTAATAGTTAACGTTTTCAACATGATTGTTTTAAAAAGGGGGAGCAGTGAGTCTACACCCCCCTCCTCCCACCAAATCAGGCTCTGGAACCCACACGGGGAAGTCAGATGCTTGATGTTTGGGACATGTCCTCTGAGTCATTTTCTGCATCCAGGTCTATCTTTGCCTTTTCTCCTCTTCCCCACTACTGAACCTTGTTGTATTGTTTCAGACAGGCTGACAGATCTTGTTACATGTCTGTACCATTGTATTTTCAGCTTTATCACTGTTGGTAAAGAGTTTAAAGGAGGCTGATATTTGGTCAAAGTGTTGAGTAATGATTAGGTGAACTTTGTCATTTACAATGTGGTCTCTAAATGATATACAAAGATCTCATTGAAAAATTAATTAAGTCATGGAGGCAGTTATTATGCTGACAGATCAGAGTAAACATGCTTGCTTTAATTTATTTTATTCAAACACGTGTGCGCACATAGTTAAATAAAACAATATTTAAAATATATACAGTACAAGAGTCAAATAACTCGAACTGTTGATAAGATTAATTTTGCTTAAGTTGACAGGATCAGCTTAGTTCTGGCCATTTTTTTTCTTTATCATTGCATAACACGTCCTGTTAAGTCGAATTCTGTTAGCTCGAATATTTGCTGCAGATGCCACCTGCCTCCATTGATCTCTGTGATTGGCCTTATCTTTCCAGTTGGTGACACAAAGTGTTTATAGGTCAGCCTATATTTGATCTCTTCATAATTTTCTTGATCAGTCTCAAGGTCTGCTCCCTTTCATTTCTTTTGTGTACACATTATTGTCTTTTTTCTGTCATTCGCTGTGTGTGACCCAATTATTGCATTCTACTAGCCCCTATGATGCCAGTAATTAGTAGTGATTTAAACAGATTATGAACTTAATTGTTGCTTTTTACTCAGTATCTTATACAAAATATATTTTCAGTCATGCCAAATTTTGCTGAAAAAGTTGAGGTGGCAGTTGATGCTCTGAATTCCAATCCACAAAGAGAAGTAGATGAAAATGAGTTCATTGAGGCTTCCCGTCTAGTGTATGATGGTGTGAGGGATATTAGACAGGCAGTGCTCATGAGTGGAGTGAGTCCATCTTAACACTTGTCTTTGTTCTGTTACATTACACTATAAATTAAAAACCTAATAGATATTTGCAGGAAACATGCATTGAAATTTAAATAATCTGTTTATATAAGTATTTTCATCAGCATGATCAGCAGTTAGATATGATTATCAAGCTTCCTAATCATCTTCCTTTTTATCTTCTTCTGATCTCCTTATAGACAAAATGTTTCTTCTTCTCCCTTTGCTTTCTCCTCCTTTTCTTCCTTCTTTTGTTGCTGCTTCTTTTTCTTCCTCCCTCCTTTTTCTTCTTCCCTCCCTCCTTCTTTCCTCTTCCTTCTTTTTATTCTTCTTCTGTCTCTTCTTCCCCTACTCATCTTTCCTCCTCTACCTCATCATTTTCCTCCGTCTGCTGCTTTTGCTGGTACTGCTGCTTTTTCTACCCCTTCTCCATCCTGACTTGTACAGTTCTGAGGTTGACACAGTTTTATCAAAAAAATTTACCAGACAATGTTCTAAATTTTGTGGGGGAAGGATCAGTGTTGAGAAAAGCAGTACCACCAACCTGTTGTCCTCATCTCCTTATGACCTGGATTATGCAAAGACCGAATACTTCACATCTCAACAACAGTATCTGCCATGGGGTTACCTCTTGTGTTTGTAAAGATAATGAAGCCACAGTAGAGAAATGGCTAGATGCTCACCTGCCAATCCAGAGATCTTGGGATCAAATCCTCATTGAATAGGATTTTTCCTTTAAAATTTACTTTTTCAGTCAAGTTGACCTAGCCTAAAATGGGTACTAGGTAGTGTCCTAAGAAGTAAAGATGGCTGGCTCTGCACCACTTGGTGGTGAATTGATGTATGACAAGTTAGATTTTGTGAGGGCCTTTTGGGAGCGAGTGAACAGTGATGAGGCGCAGAGAGATCATTATGGTTGAGGAGAAAGGCGCTACGAGGAGTTACCAGGAGATTTGGTCGAAGCTCAACACTCAGGGGAAGGATGAGATGGATATACAATCAGACGTTTACTGGTACCATCGGAATTGGAACTCTTCGTTTGCTGCTGAACATGGGGACTGAGCACTTAAGGGAGTGTCCAGAGTGCTGTGATGTCAATTCTTAATTCAAAATTCAAGTAAAAATGGCCGACGAGATGTTGACCACATTATTAACCCAAGTGCTATTGTCTCTAAATAAATACGAGTCTAGTATGATATGCTTGATGCACCACTGGTGTTAAAAAGGTCCTTATTTTACTTTGAAAGTGAGACTCTTTTGAAGATTTTTACTGCTGTCTTCTGCATTCATCCAAAGATGTAATTGTTTTGTGCTAGTTTACAGCATGGCTGTGATTTTTGCACCTTTTGGCAGATACATCCGATTTCTGCAGGTATTTATTAAACGGGTATGCCTTCCCGGTTAGTTTTCATGGGATATTGCAGTGTCATTGTTGTATGGTCATCTTTTCCCCCAGTCAGATCAGTCCAGAAAAGCCGCCTACTGCTGGTCAGCCCTGAAGAGAAGGCAGGGACAGAACATGAGCATTCCCCGCCATCCAAGGAGGCTTCCACAAATGCAGAGCCAATACATGATGCTCTGATACTGGGCTCACCAAAGAAATCATCACGCCCTGCTCACGACTGTTTAACCTCACTTTCATATATTGAACATCTCATTCATTACAGGCTATGTCTTTTGAAACCAGCCGACAGATCTGGGATTTTGATTACCTACATACATTGAGTACTTTGCTTCTTGTGCATATTTAATGAAATAAAACCACTGATTTCACATTCATCTCCAGGCTGACTTTGATGAATCGGACAGTGATAATTTTGAAGATGAATATACATATGCTCCATGTAAGTGTTTGTTTAACTCTTTAAAAACATTTTTGAGAAAACCTGTCACTGTAATTGTTGTAGCAGTAGGATGACTGGAGCAGTTGGTAACTACCTTAGACTCACAGGTCACCAGTTTTGAATCAAAATAAAGTGGTATTGTCTGCATACATGTATGTGCACTCACACGGTATGAATCAGAATAGTTAATTGCATATCCTTTACACGAAGTTGTAGAACTGACCCCTGTTTCAGTTTCACTAGGCAGTTTGTTTCTGTTTAGTAATTTGCTGTTGCCTTATGAGCGGTTGGCTCTTGATACCTCTGTCAAAATCAATGCCAGGCAGTTTGCTGCCATATCGCCTGCAGCTGGAATCGAACCAGGAATTACAAAGCGCATTTGCAGCACCACAGACACCAACATAAAGAGGAAAAGAAGCAATTATATCTGCTACATCTGGTTATTGCTGCGAACTCTTCAAAAACTCAAATATTAAATGGGGTGATCTTGTCTACACCACCCACAGAGTGCCAAATGGTCTTTAAAAATAAAAAATGTAATTCTAACTTCATGTCCCAGATGTTCCACTAGAACAAGTGTCCTCTACTCTAGTTTACTTACACAAAGTAAAGAGTCATGCGTTTTTTATCCATGTTTAAAATGCATACTACAGTGTAGTCTTTGTAACTCCTTAACACTCTTAATTCCTTACCACAGGTGACATGGTTATGCATAGATAAGTACACTGTTGTTTGCATGTACTTTAGACATCAGGTTAATTGAACATTGGACATTGCAGCATAGTCTAGATCACCACCAATAAAGTAAAAGTAAAGGACCCCTTTTAGGACAGAGACACAGTAGGTATATGATGCTAGGGTGATCTTTTTTTTTAAATAGACAAGGCGGTCTTTAGTGGATGATTTTGATTTGGTCAGATCACACTGACTACCTTTACTTCCCAGAGCAATACAGAACCTATTTTATGCCAGGTTGACCTGAGAGACAAAGTCAGTTTTGAGGGGAAAAATATGGGTCATCCCATAGTTGCCCTGTTTCTGTGCCAGCAAAAACCACACAGAATATCCATCACTGTCCCTTGTGAATCACATTGACAAGACTGCAGTCTCAGCAAAGTCAATAGCATACACATGCATGCATGAAATGCATAAAACAGCTGTCAGAAGGGGACTGATAGATCAGTATTCCCACCCAGAAGACAATATCATCTACACAGAAGGGAACTGATAGATCAGTATTCCCACCCAGAAGACAATATCATCTACACAGAAGGGAACTGATAGATCAGTATTCACACCCAGAAGATGGTATCATTTACACAGAAGGGGACTGATAGATCAAAATTCACACCCAGAAGACAATATTATCTACACAGAAGGGCACTGATAGATCAGTATTCCCACACAGAAGACAATATGATTTACACAGAAGGGCACTAATAGATGAGTATTCACACCCAGAAGACACTATCATCTACACAGAAGGGCACTGTTAGATAAGTATTCACACCCAGAAAATATGATTTACACAGAAGGGAACTGATAGATCAGTATTCCATCCAGAAGACAGTATCATCTACACAGAAGAGGGCTAATAAATCAATATTCACACCCAGAAGACAGTATCATCTACACAGAAGGGGGCTGATAGATCAATATTCACACCTAGAAGACAATATCATCTACACAGAAGGGAACTGATAGATCAATATTCACACCTAGAAGACAATATCATCTACACAGAAGGGCACTGTTAGATCAGTATTCACACCCAGAAGACAGTATCATCTACACAGAAGGGGACTGATAGATCAGTATTTCCACACAGAAGACAAAATAATCTATGCAGAAGGGGACTGATAGATCAGTATTCCACCCAGAAGACAGTATTATTTACACAGAAGGGAACTGATAGATCAATATTTACACCCAGAAGACAATATCATCTACACAGAAGGGGGCTGATAGATCAATATTCACACCTAGAAGACAAAATCATCTACACAGAAGGGCACTGATAGATCAGTATTCACACCCAGAAGACAATATGATTTACACAGAAGGGCACTGATAGATCAGTATTCCCACCCAGAAGACAATATGATTTACACAGAAGGGCACTGATAAATGAGTATTCACACCCAGAAGACACTATCATCTACACAGAAGGGCACTGATAGATCAGTATTCATACCCAGAACACAATATCATCTAACCAGATGGGTACTGATCAAGGTCAGCATGGACATACACAGCACAAAGGATGGGGAAAGCAAAAAAGGGTACAGCAGTGCTTACCAGACAACTACATCAAACATGACCAAAGAGATAGCCGCCGCTTCTAGAGCACTAGCGTAGGCAGCAAAACAAACAACCACACATGCAGTAATTATATCAGACTCCATAAACACGCTTCAGAAAATAGCAACAGGCAGTATGTGCTCTGAATGGATAGAAAGTATTTGAAAATCATACTTAACCTCCCTAACCTGGATGGACACACCTGGTCATGTGAGCAAAAAGGGAAATGAGCTAGGAAACCAGCTGGCAAGCAATGCACCATCACATACAGGAAGAAACATGTACAGAGATACAGCTCACAGTGTCGTGCGATGCTCTCAGCTCGATAGCCGACCAAAGGAACTATATGTACATATGGAAGAAAATGCAATGGCTAACTATTGTCAGAAGCAAAAACTTGCCCAACTAAAAACAGTAATCCTGGCTATCCGCATATTGACCGAATGCAGATTAAATCACCACTAATACCTAGTACCAAATGACATAATCTCATATATTAATGTTTTGCTTCAAAGCAAGTGTTGCCGATCGTGATGATTATTACGGCCAGAGTGACCGTGCTATGATGCGTCGTCTGCCAGAGGAAGAGAGGGAAGTGATCCAGCAGCAAGTAGAGCAGTTTAGAATGGAGAAAGCCGAGTTGGACAGAGAAGTTGCCAAGTGGGACGACAGTGGAAATGACATCATTGTACTGGCTAAACAGATGTGTATGATCATGATGGAGATGACAGATTTTACAAGGTTGGGTTAAATGTTTTTAATGAGTTGTGTGTCTGTGTGTGTTTGAGCACGCTTGAGCATGCAAGTGAGAGCTATGAGGAGACACTTCATTTTTTGATCATAGAGACCAAGCACTGGTAATTTTGTCTGGAGGGATATCAGTTTTGCCTAGTACACAGTAAATATTCTTGTGGGATAATAAAATAAGTATCATCATCATGAAGCAGGTCCTTTGCAGAACATTGCTCTCATCACGGTCTGCCTGAAAGAAACTCAGTTTCTCGCCAGCTCTCCCACCTCATGTACTTTCATACTCAAGGAGTCACTTATATCCTGTGCCCATCTTCGTGTTGGTTGGCCCCTGCCCCTCCTTCCTAGTATCATGCCTTCTGCTATTTTTTTTTTCCCTATTCGTTGTGGCGCTTGATATGACCAAAATATTTCAGCTTCCCAGACAGGATGCTATTAGCCAATCTTCCTTGATGTTCAGATCTTTCAAGGTGTCAGTATTTCTTCTTTTTTTCGTCCAAGATATTCTGTAAAAGTATAAGGTATATAAATATGTATTGGTAATATAAACAAGGCTTTTTCTGGCATTATGCAGCAGTTCAGTACAGCCCCCCCCCCCTCACCCCCCCTCTCATGTGGGTTCCGGGGCCCCATTGTGGGGAAAACAAGAATAGACCCACTGCCTCTCCAAAAGCATGTCGTAAGAGTCGACTAATTGGGTAGCTTCCTTTAAAGTCGGAGTGCATCTGCCGGAGAGGCAAGGAACCAACAGTCTGTATTCAAGAGAATGTGATCTGTAAAACTGATGCACATGCAACACTCAGGTTCTGGAGCAGGACTGCAGTTCAGTAGTGGACGAGCAAAAAGAACCTTCCGCCAGAGTGTACAGCTGGTGAACACTAAGAAAAAAACGAAGAAGAAGTACAGGCACCTTTTTATAGGTAAAATGTTTTATAGCATTACTGTAAGAGAAAATTATTGTGAGCACCGGCACTTTTTTATACAATTTGTAGTGAGTACCAGCACCTGTTTTTTTTTCCTTTATAGAAAAAAGTCCTAAGTATAACTCACATAACGTAATGACAAGCATGGCCGATCATTGTTCATTATCTCATCTGATCATCAGAACCTCAAACCATATCTCTGATTTGCCTCAGTTTTGCAAGTTGACCAAGGCAGATAGATTTTGTGTGTTTCATCCACTCACTCTAATCCTGTAGTTTGTGAGTTGTCACTAAGTCTTCAAGTTTACCTTATTTTTCCATGTATAAGACGAAGTGTTTCCCTAAATTTTGAGCGGGGGGGGGGGGGGGGGCGGGGGGGGGGGGGGGCATCTAATATGCTGAAGGGTTGTCTGATACATGAGGGCATCTTGTGCACGAAAAAAAATTTGGTAATTATCCTTACCAAATGTCCAGAAATCTCCACTAATAATTAGTCTGGACTTATCTCTCATTTCTGCTTGTTAATATTAAAATTATATTATGGACTCCCCATGTGGAATCCGGGACCCCATTGTGGGAGGAAAAAAGTATAGGCCTACTCAAGTTCTGTAACAAAACCAGAAGTGGACGAACAAACAGAACTGTACGCCAGAGTCTACAACCAGTGAAGAAGAAGAAGAAGAATATTAGGGACATCTGTAAAAGTTGCTGAACTTGTTTCATTATTTGACCATCTGCCTTCTTTTTTTTTTTTCATTAGAGGACGTGGCCCACTTAAGAACACAATGGATGTAATTAGTGCTGCCAAAAAGATTTCCGAACATGGAACAAATCTGGACAAACTTGCCACAATAATTGCTGATCAGGTGAGAATGTGTTTTATATATATTGTATAAGAGCAATACATATAGATGAATAATTTGGTCATTATGTTTTGTTTTGAACAGTTTCTTGCATGTTTTTTTTTGTGTGTGCAGCCCAGTGATAGAAAATTAGAGTGTTTTACAGACTGTTTTCTTTGTTGTGCTTGCTCTCACCCCAATGCTGAGAAGTGATCTAGTAGCAAAGCTTTGACAGATGGACAGACAGGGCATTGCTCTTCTGATCAAGCCGCTTGTGTAGCATACTTCATTCTGATTTTATCAGTTACCTTACCTTTGGAGTTCAGAAGGCAGGGAGAGGGATGATTCTGCGTGGACAAGACATGGTCATTGCAAAACCACCCAGGCTTTGTGCTATGGAAAAGAGGAACATTATCCCTAGCATTAATTAGCTGTGATTCCCATGCCTATCCATAAGACTGTCTTCTGCACAATGTGACAATGAATCATGGTGCTTCAGACTTGGCTACACTTGGTGTGACATTTATTTAATTAAAATGCGGACCCTCAAGGGTTATTTCAGGAGCTCATAATGAGTTAGTGACTGTTCGAAACAGGCGTAATAATTTTCTGTATGCCATTAGTATGTGTAACACAGTTGAAGAAAATGTGACTAGTTATTTCACTTTAATCAGAACAATGTTTATAAGGGATGCATGTAGATTAATCTAGTTTCCCCATGCGGGGTCTGAGGCTCCTATGATTGCTTCCCTTGAATCAGAACAGTGTTTATAAGAGGTGCATGTAGATTGATCCAGTTTCCCCATTTGGGTTCTTGGGCCGCCTGGGGGAGAGGGGGTGCGAATAGAATAGATCCACTATTCCTTGACAGGCATTTTGTAAAAGGTGGCTAATTCGAGCTTTGCCAAACTCATGTATTGGGCCGAAAGGCACTAATAACACAGCCTAGGTAGTTAGTATGCTGTGTGGTGTTTTACAGCTAGGCTGTGTTAACACCACACAGCATACTAACTACCTCTTTTATTTAAAGTAAATGCAAAGAAAGAAAGAAGATTCTTCTTCATCTTCTCTGGTCTCATTCTGCTTTTCAGCATCATCTTTTGAAGAGGTATTGGGTGTGCACCTTGGTATAAGCTTCATAGATACAGTAAAAACAGGCAAATAAATTAATCCTTTACAACTGAAAATCAACTGTGTTCCAAAGTAACTGCCTGTTTTACCAAAGCAAAGGCAGGTTTACAACCTTTTTTCCCCCTTTATTCTGGATGTAAAGGATTAATTGTGGTCACTTCAAGGAAGTGAAGAACTTTTTTTTTTATAAAGCAATAAATCATATCTTCTGTAGCATATCTGAATTTTCTTTCTTGATCTATTTTATTTTGAGGCTGTGAATGGTTAACAACACTACAAACAAAATTCATATTCGTATGATTATTGTCTTTGTCAGTGCCCTGAAACTCACTCAAAGAAAGATCTGGAAGCTTATCTGCAGCGTATAGCCCTCTACTGCCACCAGCTGAACATTACAAGCAAAGTGAAGGCTGATGTCCAAAGTGTCAGTGGAGAACTTATAGTATCTGGGGTTAGTAGTTTCTTTGTCATTCATTTATTCCTTGTCTTGTTGTACCATTATGTGTCATATAGAGCTGAAATTGTAACGAACTCTGAGACCGGGATGCTTCGAGCTGAGTGGCAAGCTTCACTGGAAAGGTCATGGGTAGTGCGCATACTTTGGATCTTTTCTCCAGGCATGCCAGCTTCGTGGGTAATGAACAGGCAGACAGATATGATGGATCTGCACCACTGAGTGGTGAATTGATACATGACAAGGCAGTTGTGGTCAAGGCCCCTTGGCAAGAAGCAATGGAATCGGTAGAGAAAGAAGATTATTATAGCCTGTAGAGAATGAGGCACCTGGGTGCCCAGCACCTTTGGCTTCTCTCAACAACATTCACTTTAGAGTTTCTTGTGGATGTCCTTGTTTTCTCAATCCTTCTATTTCCAATTTCAGTGACGATTTGGTGATTCTCTGTTAGTCTTTTCTCAGAATGATGAGTTAGATTATCTTCACAGCACTCCGGACACATCCATAGGGGCTCAGATTCCCCTCTCAATATATTCATCAGCGTCATGCGGTTAATAGTGCCAGTCCTATGTTTGTTAACAAGACTTTGTGCATCCAGTGTGCTTCTCATGCTTGGCTGTGCCGATCTTTACTCCCAATTCTTGTATTCTTAGCAGTGATGTGGACACGTTGCTTCCAAAATCCTCAGAACATCCTATCTCTCTAAGGGCAATGACAATGTCTGCGTGATCCATGGGCCTGCTAGTCTATCAGCTTTTTTATTACCAACAATGCCTGCATGCCCTGGTATGAATATGAAGGTAACTGCACACACAGGAGAGTTTTGCAATGATTCAAACCACTGTCTGCGTAACCAGCCTGCCTCGACCCGCTGGATCATGCTCAAAGAATCACTCAGCACACACACGTGGAAATAGTCCTGTGATTCAAGCCGCATGAAAGCTTGTGTCACCACCATCACCCCCATCATCATGCTGCTGGTAGTCATGGAGAAGGCACCGCTGGCTTCTTGAACTCTTCTGCCTGACGAGCGAGCTGTAAATGCCCTTGCACTCTTATGTCCTCATATAATGGTGAATCTCAGAATGTGTCCAGTGTAGTGCCATCTTCTCTGTCTTATATTGGTTGGGTTGCCCAGACATTTCTCTTATTTCTTCACCCTTCTTTGTTTAAGTGTTTCTTTTTGCTGCTGTATGTATAATACATCATTTTTCTTCTTTTTCACGTTCATCAGCTGTAAACTCTGTTGGAAAGTTGTAGCTGTTTCTCTAACTCTGGACTTTAGTCTTATTCCAGAACCTGAGTGTTGCATGCACATCTATTTTATGGATCTTATTTTTATACATATTGTTGGTTCCTTGCCTCTCAGGCAGATTCACTCCAACTTCGAAGGAAGTCCTAAATATTCGACGCATACCACATGCTTGTTGGAGAGGCAGTGGGTCTGTTCTTGTTTAACCTACATTTGGGCCTCAGAACCCACATGGGGAAATACATCATTGTCTCTGAGTTCAGGTCTCTCCCTAGTAATGATGGGGAGGGGAGATAGACCCTCAGCCCTTAACAAGCATGTTGTAAAGGTGACTATTTAAGTTTTTACTGAAGTTGGATGTGTTTGTCCATTGACACAATGTGCCAGCCAACATTTTCAGGGCTTCTTTTTCATCTTGTGATCGCTTTCTGATTTACGCAGACAGATGAGTTCTTATGATAAAATGTATTGTTTTTAGAAGTTCTCTTTTAGTTTCACACAATTTTGTGTATATTGTTGACCGAGTGGGCTAGTATTCCCTTCCTAATGGGTTGTACAAGGAAATTCTTTCAGGACATGTTCTGCAATTTGCACACAAGGGCCACATGAGCATAGTGATGACCTACATAGATAATACCTGTGCATATGCTTGTAAAGTTTGTTATGTCTGTCCTGAGGTGTAGAATGATGCCCATGCCAGCTGAGTAAGTGGTAGCTCTTAAGGACTAATGCAGAAGAAGAAGAAGCTAATCATTGTAAAGAATTATTGTTTACAATTATATTTTATGCAGGCTCTTTCAAATTAACTCTAAAATAAACCCTGCATATTTAGCATCAAATCTTCATCCAGACAGCTTAGTTCTTAGTTCATCATCCTGTGCTGCCATTATTATATGTCACAGAGGGCTCAGGTCTTGTTCTCTATTCTGTTCTGTCCCATGCAATGATTTTGATATCAGGAATGGAATTCAGCACCTTTGGCCTCTCTCAGCCAAAGTTTATCATGGACGTCTTCATTTTCTCAGTCCATTTGTTCCCCATTTCATTGCCTGCTTCTTCTTATTCTTCTTCACGTTCACCAGCTGTAAACTCTGGCGGAAAGTTTCAGCTGTTCATCCACTTCTGGACTGCAGTCCTGTTCCAGAACCTGAGTGTTGCAAGTGCATCCATTTTACAGATCTGACTCATTTGTATGCAGACTGCTGATTCCATGCTTCTCAGGCAGATGCACTCTGACTTTGAAGGAAGCTCCCAATCTTACGACATACTTTTGGGTAGCAGAAGAAGAAGACTACATACACAAATGTTCTGAAAATAATTGCACGCATAATATTTACTTTAGTGAGTAGAAGATGCTCGGCTAAAGGTCAGTCAGTGGTTCAGATTCACATCAAGGGTGATTTTTTCCATAATTGACTTTGGCTCCCAAGTCAAACGAGCCTAAAATGAGTACCAGGTAATATCTTGGAAAGTAAAGTCGGCTGAGTGTGCTGTTGACCACATCACTCATCAAGTACAGATTGATCTGTATAACTGTTGGTCTAGCAAGATTTTTTTTTTTTGGGGGGGGGGGGGGGGGGGGGGGGGGGGGGGGGGGGGGTCGATATGCAATAGTACACAGGCACCTTTTTTTTGCATAATTTTTTTCTTCATTGCTGATGTAATAAACACTATATGATGAGTATTGACACCTTTGTAGACACTTTGTGGCAAGTACCAGCATCATTAGTTATAGTGAAAAGGCCCTGGGTCTTGCACTGGGAGCCCATTATGTAAAGAGACCTTTAATTCCTCTTGTACATTAACTTTTATCTTTTGCAGACAATAAGTGAGACAGCATTAGCTCGAAAGAAGGTGTTTTATATATTTACCTGTGATATTTCTTTTGCATATACAGGATTTTACAGTTCTGATTGAACAAGTTTTTTTGTGTGTGTATTGAAATATCAGTTCTTCCTTATTTCAGTTTTGATTACTACACATTTTTATCTGTTATTTCAGTATAATTTTTGTTTGTGTGAATGAATTCTTAATGTCTTGAAAAGAAACAAAACTAGAATGAATGTTATCATAGAAGCTAGTAGGGTGTTTGGTTACGAAAATAAAATTAAAATAAAAAACACATGATAGATGGATTAGACATGTAGTATCATCATCATAAGACAGTATCTCAAAAAGAACTTTACAACTTAGACATGATGACAACAGAGCATTTGTAAATGAGCAAACAAATCTTTTCAGGTCTCAGATATTTGTCGTAGATCTGGCCGTATAGATGAATGTAGAAAGTCTGAGAAATGAGTAATACAGTATTTAGAAAAATAATATAAACAAAGACATCACAAAAATAAACACTAGCAAGAGGCTATTATCCAGATTATGAGAATGAAAAAACAAACTAAAGCATGTTATCAAAACTAGAAAAGATTTCTGGAAAAGGAGATCGAAGAAGATAACGAGAGAAGATTATTGACAGATTTTAATCAGGATGTAGAACGGGGTTGAGTTAATTAGTTGCATATCCTTTACAGGGCATTGCAGAACCAACCCCCAGCATTGTTTGGTTGTTGTGGTTTTTCTGGACAGATTTACATCTAGTAGTTTGCCTTTGCTTTCTGTGCGGTCGGTTTCTCGATACCACTGTTGAAACCAATGCAAGGCCCGCAGCTGGGATCGAACCCGGCATTACAAAGCGCGTTCACAGCGCCTAAGCCGCAGACAGAAAGAGGTTACCATGTTAATTGTTAGATGATATTTATCATATCATTGCAAGGTATGGATAATTGCGAATACATATAGGTGGGTTAAATTAATGGAAATTTAATAGCACAAACACATATAGGTGGGTTAAATTAATGGAAATTTAATAGCACTAACACGTAAAGGTGAGTTAGATTTATGGAAATTTAATAGCACAAACACATATAGGTGGGTTAGATTTATGGAAATGTAATACATTGATGGGAAGTCATAGCAGTGTGGTACCTAGCGGTCACCTGCTGGCCTAGAGGCCTTGGGTTCAACTCCTCATCGAGTCTGATGTTTTTAACAATGACTTTTACTCCCAGGTCATTTCAGCATAAAATTGGTACCTGGTAAAGAAGTAAAGGCAGCTGACATGATGTTGGCCACTGCACCCATCGAGTGCTGATTGGTTTATAAATATAATTTGCATCTAGCACTGTAGACCCAGTTTACCACTGTCGTGAAAGGGTCCGTTACTTTATGTCAAGAATTTATGCCAGATAGTAGATACAGTTTTCCAACTTTACAAAATCCATAATCTTATACATAAATCCGTCTTCGCCCTTGTGGACAGGGATCACAGAATATTGAGCTTATGCCAGAAGCTTTCTCTCTGCATGCAGTAGAGAGATTGCAGATTTAGCTGGTGGGTATTCTAATGGAAATCAAATCGAATGAATCAGTGGAAGATATGCATTCCACCACAGGCTTCTCAAAGGCCTGAGACCTTTTTCATTTGAAAACCACTGGTAGGGATAACGGTGAGAAGAAGATACATATATCTGTGAAAGTGATCTACATTAATCAATCATTCTTCACAATTCTTTTCAGCTGGACAGTGCCACGTCTCTGATTCATGCGGCGAAGAATTTGATGAATGCTGTTGTACTGACAGTCAAAGCTTGTTATGTTGCATCCACTAAGGTAAACAAAAATCAGCTGATACGTCTGTATTCTTATCTACCGTGTAAATAAGCAGTCAGTCTTTTTTTTTCTTCTTCAAATTCAGTGGCTGTGAACTCTACGGTGTGAAAACGTATTGGGAAGCTGCGGAGATGTGGTTTTATAGATGAATGATGAGAATATCCTGGACAGATGATAAGAGTAATGAAGACATCTTGAAAGAAACTGGCTCACAAAGGGAACTGATTGCCCACATCAGAAAAATACAATCTACATTCTTTGGTCATGTGATGAGAAGGAGAAAACTAGAGTACATCATGACAGTAGGAAAGTTGGAGGGGAGGACAGGCAGAGGGAGACCGAGAGAACAGAAGCTGGTCAGTTTGACACCATGGATCATCTGTGTCAGAGTTGATTGAAAGTACACGAAACAGAAGGTTATGGATAGATATGCCTACCAGCGGCACACAGCATGGACTCTAAGAAGAAGAAGAAACTTTAGGGGAAAAGTCCTGGCTTTTTGACCGTTTGTATTCTTTAGTCCAGGACTTGAGTGTCAATTTTACAGATTTGACAAATCATACCTCATACCATGATAACAATCCACACAGCCAGCAGTGGGTTTTAATCATGTTACATTGAAAGTACGAGCCGCACTCACAACGCCTAAGCCTTTTAATGTGGCTGAACTATTTATATTTGTTTCAGCAGCTCTTTCTTTTCTAGAAGCTGTGTATTTTATACTTTTTCTCTATGAAAAGTGACCTATTCTTGATCTTTTCTTCATCTCCAGACTCAAACTTTTTATTGTCCATGATGGCTTTTCTAATCCTTCCAGTACTTTTTAGGTGAAGGCCGCAATTTTTTTTTTAAATGCAAAATAGTGTCTGCAACAAGCCTCTCATTATACAAGACAAAGGAGTTCTGAATTGTAATGTTGAACAAGTGCTGTGAATCTTGGAATGTGAATGAACAAATTAAGAACTTGGAAGCCATGGGAATGTGTTTTCTGAGACGCATGCAGCTGATACCAAAATCAGAGTGACTAACAGTGACTGCCTTGAAAAGGCTAATGAAACAAAACTATACACAACTATAAAAAAAAAAGTGAATGTTTTTGGGTCATGTGACAAGAAGCATTGGAGAACATTGTGATGACTGGAAAGATCAATGGTAGAAGAGACAGACCAAGAGGGACAATGCTTCTTTATAGTCTAAAGCCATGGCATGGTGGAATATCATCAGTGAAACTGATTTCAAAAATACCTAGGACCGAGATCTGTGGAGAGACATGGGCGCATACACCGTTGGGCAGGGCACATGAGGATGGTGATTTTCATTGTCCAACTTTCAGCACCATAGAGGAGGGTTGAATATTATCACTTGACAGTTTTTCTTTTTAATATGTTGATTATCTCTATAAGTGAATAATTCTTGTTCAGATAATATTTCATGTGGGTGCAATATTTGTGATGCTTAACAACAGACTAAACTTCAGATTCCTGGAATGTGAAATAAAAATGGCCAACAAATTCTCAGGCATATCTTTCAAGAGTAAAGTAAAGATGCCTTTTCATGCCTTTAGGCGCATCGGGCAAATCGGAAGAGCACCCATATTTTTATAGACCAAGGCACTAGGTGGGTAATGTGGTCAGCATTACGCCGGCCGTCTTTACTTCCCCAGGATATACATCCTGGTACCTATTTTAGGCTGGGTCGACCTGCGACACCCCATACCATGATAAAAATCCACGCAGCCTGCAGTGGGTTTCGATCGTGGTACTTTAGAATTACAAGTCGGACTCGCAACGCATAAGCCACGGACGCCACTCTTTCAAGAGTGCCTTATGGTTTTCTTAATGCAAGGTAAACATTTGTCCACAAAGATGTACATCCACACCAAAATACTTAGACGTCGTCCTAAGCTGTAAATCTGATAGATTAACGATTGTGCATGTCTCTGTCACATGAAGGTACAGTTTAGAATTATAATTTTTGTAGTGATTTTTTTTTTCTTTTTTTTTCAGTTGTTTAAATAATTGCAATTTTTCCTGTTCAGTTTACTGGAGACAGATTTATTAAAAACACACTTGAATTATTTACTTATTATTGTTTATATATTATTTTATTTTCAGTACCTGAAAGGATCAAATGTAAGTAAATCATGTTTATTTTTTTATTATTAGAAAATAATATGTTGTGTCCCTGCTATGTTATTTCATGTCATATTCTTGTTTAGGGCTGTTTTACGGTTTAGAAAAATTGAAGCAAACAGAATAGGCTTATCTTAGTAGTATTTAAAGAAGGAAAGGGTTGGTTAACAGATGCAGATGTTAAAATAATGCAGATGTAACAATAGGTTGCACAGTTTACTGCACAGCTTATTTCGCTGAATCTTGTCGAGTGCATACTATAAAATTAAAGAATTGAATCAACTTGTAATGATGAGGGCACCCTGACAGATAAAAAGAGTAAAGATATCTTGAACAAAGTGACTCATGAACAGAACTAATTACCCGCATCAGAAGAAAACACAGATAAAGAGTAATGATATCTTGAACTAAGTGACTCATGAACAGAACTAATTACCCGCATCAGAAGAAAACTATCAATTTTTTGGTCATTTCAGGAAAAAGAGAAAACTGGAGCACGTCGTGACAGAGGGAAGGTTGGAGGGGGAAAGAGGCATGCTTTTAACTGTAAACACATTGTGATTTATTTTCAAATTATTGCAAGTGGATCAGTTACGAAGTCATGATGGGATTGTGAACTCTTGTGTGGTGCATGTGATGTGTATTGTCCTGGATGTGTGTCATGTTATATCACAATATGCTATTCAATTACCCATAAAAAGACAGTTAGAACATTGTGTTGTTGTTTACAGCTAGGCTGTAATATCTGCACCTTTAGGCCAATCACATCTGGTTTTGGCAAATCCTTTTAAAACTTGCTTGTAATGGAGCAGTGGGTCTATTTTTTTCAAAAATAAAAAATATGGCCCTGGAAATCTCATGGAAAGAAATGAGTTTATGCCCCCCCCCCCCCCCCCCCCCCCCCCACACACACACATTTTTTTTTTTTACTGTGTGTGTGTGCGCTTGCATATGTGCCTAATTGCTTGATTATCGACCCCACATTTCAATGATTTATGTTTTTCTTGCAGAAGAAACCAGTCGTTTTGTGGAAAATGAAAGCACCAGCCAAGAAACCACTGGTCAGAAGAGAAGATCCTAATGAAATAGGCGCCAAGGTCAGAAAAGGTGCTGCCACGCGGTCAGCCATCGAGCCAATCAAAGCTCTGAGTGAATTCCAAGAGGTGGATCCTGACAGTTACTGCTAAAGCCACCGCTATTCTGGTGGTGGAATTTTGAGGATGAAAGATGTGAATATATGCTGCCATGTGATACAACATTTATTTTCATAAATATTTTATTATTTTAAAAATATACCAACACTTAAATGCCAAGGACATAAATTAACATAATGCATACTGTAACAAGGAAGCTTAACCAGGGAACTTCTTCTTTTTGGTGTTCATTGGTTGTAAACTTTGGTGAAATGTCTGGTTGATAAACTCTGATGCAATGGCTGGTTGTTCACTTATTTATGGATCTAAGTCTTTTTCTAGAACTTACGTTTTGTGTGCACATCAGTTTGACAAAGCTGGCTTATTTGTATGTTTGTGTACAGGCTGTTGGTTTCTTGACACTCAAGCAGACACATCCGAGCTTGAAAGAAAACACCCCTAATTAGTTACCCTTTATGACATGATTGTTAAGGGAGCAGCGTGTCTATTTTTGATTCTCCCTCTTCACTCTTTGAAAATAAAGTTTGTTCGTTTGTTCGTTCTCCCTCAATAAGGCCCTATAAGCCATAAAGGAAAATCACAGGAAAGCAAAGAAATCCATCCACACAGACAACTAAATGTTTAAACCAAAGTCTTTATCATCAACTGAAATCATAAAATCACCATAAATGCTAGAGAAAGCCTGGTAAAGATGTCTCAAGCAGACAACCTGCTCTAATAATTTCTTAGATTATCTACGGCAAACGAACACATTCATAAAAGTAATATTGGTTTATCAGAAGCGATGAACAGCAACATTTTGCTCTCCAGCTTCAAAGGAAACACCCCTAATTAGTAGTCTCTCGCAACATGCTCTTTGGAGAAGGAGACGAGTGGGTCTTTTCTTTTGTTTCCTACAATGGAGCCTTGAAACCCACACATTGACCTTTAAACTTTGAACTATCATGACTGCTGGAGGACCTTGTGGCTACACCTTTTGCCTCGCACTGTGAATGTCATAGGTTCGTGCCATATACTGCAGCGTTTGGTTCTAGAATACACTTAAAGCAGAGATCCCTGTGGATAATCACTGGAACTATTAAGTTAGTGCTTTGTTTGATGCTCTTTGCAAATGACTAACCATACTGCAGATAAGGACTGAGACGTGTTGGTTAAACCCAGTGCAGTGAAACCTCTTCTCTTGATTTAAATCTTCTTAAATTTCAGACCTTAACAAATTGAAGTAATTTAATACAAAAAAGCAAAATGAGTAAAGTAACACATATAAAGGAATTATGAAGTCAAAAGTTCTTACACATATACATGTGACTTGAGTCAACTCGATGGGGCAGAAAGAGTTTGGAAAAGTAACAAGGTGGAGTAACTGTTGAGTGCATAATGTGTTACCTAGTACCAAAAGCAGTTAGTTAATATTGTGAAAATTGCATGAAGAACATACGAGCTTAACATCTTCTTAAACATTCACTCTTTAAAGGGTTGTTGGCATGTATGTTGTGGTTTATAGCCACCTTTACTTCTTAGGAAATTTCCAGTGCCCATTTTAGGTTAGATTAACCTGGGAACCAAGGTCAGTTTAAAAAAAAAAGCTTTTATATTAGGAGTTAAACAAATTCTTGTCCAAGAATGAGTAGCAGTTAATGATTGACTTCACTTTTGGAAGGTTGTGAACTTGTGTCACGCTTGCAGTTTATTTTGTAAGAAGAGTAAAACGTACTTTTGTCTAGAAGAGCTGATTCTTAATGATTGAGTTCTCTGTTATAAGAACCATTGAATACACCACTGAAGGGTTGTGGACTCATGCAGTTTATTCTATTTTACAAGAAATAACCTGGGAGCCAATGTCATTTTTAAATCTGGTACAGTACTGATTTGAAAACCCAGGACCTTTAAGACAGCAGGCACATTTTTAAGCCACGGTGCTGACACCCCCCACCCTGGCTCAAGTAAGTAAAAAAAAAACTTATTGTGATTCATAAGTTGTTAGAAAATGTTGCTAGCCAGACTCAAATTTCTTATCGACCAGTCAGCACTTAGTGGGTGTTGTGATGTGATTAGCATCCCCCTGGTTGCCTTTACTTCACGGGATGTTACCCAATACCCATTTTAGACTTGGCTCAGGTCAATTCTGAAAAAAAAATCTGCCTCAGTGCAGATTTAAACTCAAGAGCATTGGTCCAGATGGCAGACCTCTAGCCACTGAACTACTACAGCTCCCCTGTTTTGTTGTGGCAGAAGTTAAAAAAATGAGTACAATGTTTTGATATATGCTCTAGAGCTATGCTCTTCTCATGTTGACTTATGCCAATCTACAGCACAGCTGGTTGTTATTCTACATTTATATTTACAGAAAAACATTTTATCGTTTGGAATTCATTCATTTTGTTTATCAAATGAGAACAGTGCCTTTATGTTTTGTGTTGTATGTATGGTACCCATGAGCCGTATTGGGTAAATGATGTTAGCCCCATTTTTTTTTAATACACCTTTTTCTTCAAATTCACTGGCTATAGACTTTGTTGGAAAGTCCTGGTTGTTCATCCACTTCTGGACTTTGGTCTTTTTTCAGAACTTGAGTTTTGCACGAGCATCCATTTTACAGATCTGGTTTATTTGAGTGCATACTGTTGGTTCTTGGTCTCTCAGACAGATGCGGTCCACTCTGTCTTTGAAGTAATCATTGATCTGGGCAATGTAAACTAGGCCATTGTTTGTTTCTAGGATCACCACAGAAAAATATAGATAGGTCTTGGCCAGTATGAGCCCTAAAACAAAGGTGCCGGTACTGCATACTTTTTTGAAAAGCCCTGGTCCTAGGTCAGTAATAAAAGTAGTCTTTATTGCACCACAGCAGATTGGAAAAAGTAATAGCAGAAGGCATGGTACCAGGAAGGAGGGGCAGGGGCCGACATACACGAAGATGAGCACAGGATATAAGTGACTTCTTGAGTATGAAAGTACATAAGGCAAGAGAGCTGGAGAGAGACCGAGTTTCTATTAGGCAGACTGTGATGAGAGCGACGTTCTGCAAAGGACTTGCTACATGATGATGATGTCTTTACTGCCTGAACTTTCCACTTGTAGGACAGGAGAGTCATGAGCCTGAGCATTTAAAGCTGCATTGCTAGTACAGTCACCAACCATCAGCTCTGCGGGTTAGGATTTTTATGTTTGCCTCTAACCACACAAAAAACACCCAAAACGCCATCCCTTGCCAGGGATCGCACTCGGGTCTTCCGTGTAAGAGCCTAGCACTTTAACCACTCAGCTGGCTGACCCTGATGTCCTTTGTACATAATAAATTTGTTTTGTACCTCTGAAGTTTTTGTCAGAAATTATAGCTTAAATATTCTTTGGTTGCTGAAGAGGACCAAATGTCAGTCCCATAATTATTTTGCAAATCGCAGATACAGACTTTGAGCAATAAAACATGTTACTGCGATGCCAGGAGAGTACCGACTGTCATTCAGAAGTTTATTCACATACCTCTTATAGCTATTTGGCTGAGGAAATCTAATGTTTGTTTGGTACTTTAAATTGTCTCTTGGACTTTAAACTGTGCAGCAAATCTGTACTTGTAAATAAAACAAACTTCTAGAGGCAGATGTCTGCCTACATTGATTAACTTTTTGTACACCATTAGCTATTTTCAGTGGCTCATGTCTTGATGTAATAATAATAGAAAAAAATCAAATCATACATAAAGGGGAACAAATATTGAAAATTAAAGTCAGTCTGGATTGATATTCGTTTCGGGTTTAAAATTAAATTTTCAGTCAGACAAGGTTAATTGGTTATCTTCAAAACCAGCCTTTCCCATTTGGTGATTTGGGAGTGGAGGGGGGGGGGGGGGGGGGGGGGGGGGGGGGGGGGGAGGTGTCCTTGATTTCATTTACACAAAATTTTTCAACTTTAGAGTGCATTCATTTTTTTTATTTTATTTATGTAATTTTACTTTTTTGTTTTTGTTTTAATTTGATTTTAAAATGTTTAGTTCGTACAGATCTCTTAAATATCTGCAGGCCCTAGCTAAATGGAGACCACAGCTGTAAATATTATGCAGAGTGTTGTGAGTACACTGAAAGTTTCTTATCCTTATATAGTGGCTGGGGGAGTTGCCGTGGCATAGTGGCTAGATGTTCGAGTGCGGGTCGTGGGTATGCTCCCTGGTGGAGCCGGACATTTTTCAAAAATGACTTTGACTTCCAGGTCGACCCAGTCTTGAGTGGGTACCAGATGCAGTCCCGGGAAGTAAAGGCGGCCAGCTGACCACAACACCCATCTAGTGCCGATTGGTATACAAAAATATAGGTCTAGCCCTGTATGCCCTATACGCCTAAAGGCATGAAAAAGAGACCTTTACTTTTTTTTTTAATACAGTAACTGGGAGCCACATTGGAAATATACCACCCTCCCCTTCTCAAAGTGGACTTCGGGCTACTTCATACCTGCTTTGTTGTGCCTTTATATAACTGATACATGGTTGAACAGGGCTTACAGGATTTGTAACTGTTTGATTCTCATTCTTTCAATGTTAGTCATACAGATTGCAATCTTGAAGGGCATAGTGCTCAAAACTGGCCACATATTTTAATGCAATTGCCTGCCAGGAGAGTGGTACTTGTTAAAACTTCAGGAGAGCCAAATTTCCTACCAGTTTGGCTGTGAGGTCAGTCCAGCCTAAAAAAATGGTTTCCAGCCGATTTTCAGAATTTTCTGGAAAGTTGAGTCGAGTTGATTCAAGAACCGACATCACAGCATTCGGGGCGTTCCCATAAGCGCTCCATCCCCATCTTCAGCAGCCAGTGAAGAGTTCTGATACTAATGGTGCCAGTTGAATTCTGATTAAACGTCGGTCTTGCCTTCCCTCTGAGCCTCAAGATCTGCCAGAACCTCACGTGACTCCACCCTGCATCAATCCTACCAGACTGTGGTGATCCATCTGCTCCTCCGAACTGTACACGCTCTCCCACAAGGCACTAACCACATCTGCCTTATCATGCATCAGTATTCCACCACGTTGTGCAGAGCCAGCC